GCCCGTTTTTTATTTTGCATCTGTCACGAACGCTTTTTAGTTTTTTGGATATAAAAAACGGAAAAGCGTTTTTTAAAAGGTTTATTGGTCTCAATAAACCCTTTTTGATAGTTTATTAATCTAAGACTATTTTTTACAGTGTGTCAACTATCTTGCTGAATATAATGTTTAATAGATGTTTGACGACGATATGATTTTAAGAGAATAGCTTTTCTTCTTCTTTATTGATATGAGAAGTCAAATTCTTACAAATGAGCCGAAAAGTTGCTTTCAACACTGAAAATTTTCGCTTCAGAATTTCTTCTGCCTTTCTTTTAAATCATCCTGACAGCACCATTAGTTCTTCTTACTGGCTGTGTGTACTTGCATGATGTGTCTTCCATCCAATCAGCATCACTCATGACCATAATGATACCGTTCAGATACTTGTCTTTTGCTATTTTGCGTTTCTAGGGTAAATTTATTCGTATTCATTTTGGAACCCAAGGTAAAATTGCCGGTGCTGATATTGAAGTGTATCTGTTAGAAAAAGCTCGTGTCATCTTTCAACAACCACTTGAACGAAACTATCATATTTTCTATCAATTGTGTTCAAATGCATTTCCTGAATATCACAGTAAGTTAGAGACCAAAAACCATAAAAAAAACTGATCATTTATTTCTTGTAGAGGAAATTTTAATCGTAAATGATCCGGGCAAATACCACTATGTTGCTCAAGGCAAATTGACAATTGATGGAGTTGATGATGCTGAGGAAATGAAAATAACTGATGAGGCCCTCGATATTCTTGGTTTTACCAAAGAAGAAAAATTGAACATGTACCGATGCACAGCGGCTATAATGCATTTTGGTAATACAACATGGAAACAACGTCCACGTGAAGAACAAGCTGAAGCAGATGGGACGGAAGATTGTGAAAAAGTTGCTTTCCTTTTGGGTGTTCAACCAGCAGATCTCATTAAAGGCTTGTTAAAACCACGTATTAAGGTAAGAACAATAGTGTTTTGATTAGTCACTGATGTACAATAATATTAAAATGCTTTCAACTAGGTCGGTACTGAATATGTTAATAAAGGTCAAAATAAAGATCAAGTAGTAAATTCAATTGGTGCTTTATCAAAATCAATTTATTATCGTATGTTCTGTTGGCTTGTTGAACGTGTCAATGTAACTTTAGATGTTAAAGCAAAACGTCAATATTTCATTGGTGTTTTGGATATTGCCGGCTTTGAAATTTTCGATGTAAGTTAGTCTCACTGTAGTATCTTTTTTCAAAAGTAATATTAAAATAATATTTTAGTTTAATGGTTTCGAACAATTATGTATTAATTATACAAACGAACGTCTTCAGCAATTTTTTAATCATCATATGTTCGTACTGGAACAAGAAGAATATAAAAAAGAAGGAATTCAATGGGAATTTATCGATTTTGGCATGGATTTACAAGCCTGTATCGATTTAATTGAAAAAGTATAACTTTTATAATTATTATACTTAGACTTTTACAATTGATTCTCAACTTTCAGCCTATGGGTATCTTATCCATTCTTGAAGAAGAATGTATCGTACCAAAAGCAACAGATAAAACATTTGTAGAAAAATTGTACAATAATCATCTTGGTAAACATCCACAATTTGGTAAACCAAAACCATCAAAAGTACAAACACATTTCCGCATACTTATGGACGAAATTTGAATTATTTCTACGCACTATTTATTTTAGGGCAAAGCTGAAGCACATTTTGAAATTCATCATTATGCTGGTTCTGTTCCATATACAGCAACAAGTTGGATAGAAAAAAATAAAGATCCAATTAATACAACGGTTGCTGCTCTATTTTCCAAATCAAAAAATCCAATGTTGTGTCATTTGTATGCTGATGTAGCAGCTGAAGAGGATGAAAAAGCTGCCGGAAAGGGAGGCGGTGGAAAGGGAAAGAAAGGTGGTAGTATGCAGACGATTTCGGCTACTCATAGAGTAAGTTAGAAGCTGTGATAGTCTGAAAATACCTGACGAGTTGTACTTTATTAGGAACAATTGAATAAACTGATGGTGAATTTGAGACAAACTCATCCACATTTTGTCCGTTGTATCATCCCGAATGAAGTGAAAACTGGAGGTATGTCTTAATCTCTCTAGTATTCTTTAGCAAGTTTTGTATTTTTTCCCCTACTTTCTTCTATCAGACTGAAAATCTTAATGTAATAAGATTTTGGAAAGATAGGTTACAAAATATTAGCATTTTTCAGTAATATTAATTTTCTTTATGATAAACATTAGAAAATGAGATTAAAAAATTTATCAGTATTTACATTGATGTGAGGCGTATGTTTAATACGACATTTATTGTGCAAAACTCGAGAACTTTGGATGACGTTTGGATTCAAATGGCTTTAAATCGATGTTAAAGTCCTTTATTTTCGGATTTGTTAGAATAAGCAGAAATCATATTTTCGGACTGTAAGCTTGAGATCTAGGAGTTCAATAAAGCTCGTTTACAAAAGACTTCTGCACAATTTGAATATACTAGGATTCTATTGATATTTTTTGGGTGAAAGTTTCAAAGAGAATGTTTATGATGTTTCAAACATTTTAGAGTTTTTTAAGGTTTTTAGAGTTTCATTTCCATTCTAGGCATATTAGATTCACATTTGGTTCTCCATCAACTTCATTGTAACGGTGTCTTGGAAGGCATTCGTATCTGTCGTAAAGGTTTTCCTAATCGTATAATCTATTCTGAATTTAAACAACGTTATAGTATCTTAGCACCCAATGTTATACCAAAGGGCTTTGTTGATGCGAAAAAGGCGACAGAAGATGTCTTAAAAGATATTAGTTTGAGCGATGAATTGTATCGTTGTGGTCTCACAAAAGTATTTTTTAAAGCTGGTGTTCTCGGTCAGTTGGAAGATATGCGTGATATAGCCCTAAGTAAAATTATTGCCACCCTACAAGCACAAATTCGTGGTTATGTTATGCGTAAAGCATACAAAAAAATGTTAGATCAACGACTGGCTCTGTCTGTTTTACAACGAAATATTCGAAAATATATTGGTATCAGAAACTGGCCATGGTGGAAATTATATACCAAAGTGAAACCATTGTTGAGTGTTGCTCGACAAGAAGAAGAAATGAAAAAATTGGAGGAAGAATTTGCCAAATTGAAAGAATCATTAGAAAAAGAGGAAAAACTACGAAAAGAAACGGAAGAACAAAATGCAAAATTAATTAAAGATAAAAATGATATTTATTTATCGTTGGAAGCTGAGCGAGCTAATACGAGTGGTGCCGAAGAACGTTTACAAAGACTAGTTTCACAAAAAGCCGATTTAGAACAACAGGTAATTGTCTTTTTATAGCACTAAAAGTCTCTAAATTAAATATTTTAGGTCAGAGATATGGAAGAACGTGTCAACGAAGAAGAAGAAGCCTCAGCTGAATTACAGAATAAACGTAAAAAATTGGAACATGATATTGACGGATTGAAAAAAGATATTGACGATATGCGATTAAATTTACAAAAAGCCGAAAATGAGTGTAAAACGCGTGATAATCAAATTCATACTCTGCAAGATGAAATGGCACAACAAGATGAAACCATTGCTAAATTGACTCGCGAAAAGAAACGTCTGGAAGAACAAAATACAAAAACTACCGAAGAATTACAGGCCGAAGAAGACAAAGTAAATCATTTGAATAAATTAAAAGTCAAATTGGAACAAACATTGGACGATTTAGAAGATTCATTAGAACGTGAGAAGAAGAGCCGAGCCGATCTGGACAAGTCGAAACGAAAGTTAGAAACTGATTTGAAATCATCACAAGCAAATATGGAAGATCTTGAACGTACGATCTATCGTTGACGAATGTCTGTTAATTATTATGAGTATCTTTTAGGTATTCGACGTGAATTGGAAGAAAACTTGAAACGTAAAGACCAAGAAATGCAACAGATGGGTAGTCGTTTAGAAGACGAACAAGGTCAAGCAACAAATTTAGGAAAGAAAATTAAAGAATTACAAGCAAGAATTGAAGAATTAGAAGAAGAATTAGAAAACGAGAGACAAGCAAGAGGAAAAACAGAAAAACAACGAGCAGATTTGGCACGTGAAATTGATGAAATGAATGATCGTCTAGGTATGATGGGCTTAGTCTAAAATAACGACATCTACGTTTTTCAAATTGGTTAAGTCGGGAACTTAGACAGCAAAACATACCAAAAACTGAAAAACAATCATTGAAGGAAAATTCTGAGGAAGGAAGTGGATTCAATTGTGAAAAAGTTCTTTTTTACAATTATTTGTGAATATCTTTATACTTGTAGAAGAAGCGGGAGGAGCAACATCGAGTCAAGTTGAAATGAACAAAAAACGTGAAGGTGAGCTAGCTAGATTGAGACGTGATTTGGAAGAAGCCAACCTTCAACATGAAGCAACAGCGGCACAACTAAGAAAGAAACATCAAGATGCAGTGAATGAAATGGGAGATCAAAGTAAGCAACCATATATTTGTATTATATATAAGTTATAGAAACTCAATCGCAGGAAAAATGTGTTTGAAAAAATATGTTATAGTAGGCCTCTGTTCATGAGACTATTGACAAAACAATTTTGTCGGCTTTTAAATTTGATTATTCTTAGTGGAGAGTTTCAAAGCTTTTTCGAATAAATTATTTCGAAAATTAAAGATATCCTCTCAAAAGTGGAAAAATAACAAAATTGATTTCATGACGCTCAAAAACTTTTGTGATCTTAGAAGTGTGCGAAATGAACGTATATTTTTTCTAATATTTATGAAATATTCATTCTGACTGTATTAGTTTGTTGATGATTCACCATCATAAGAGCAACAGTTGAATAAAATGTTCTAAGGAATTAGATTTGAATGTATTTTGATCTCGTTTTAGGTATAATAAATATGTACAGGTACGAATTATCATAATCAAAAAGGATGTTTTTGACCCTTGAACCATTATACCAATTTTTTTTTCCCATTTCAAGGCTCATATTGCACTAACATTCATATATATATATACCTCTTCATTAATACAAAAATATGTTAAAAGGAACGTTATAAAAAAGTGGCATTCGTCATGCTGATTGCTATTGAAGTTTAAGGAGTTGTACCTAAGCCCTAGACGTGTTATTCAAAATTTTGCAGACCACCGTCTCCCTCACTATCCTATATGATATTTTACGCCATTCGGCACATTTAAAGCTCTGTTTTTGCACTCACAAGAAAATTTTCCGTACACTTATTCCAATTAATTTACTCTATACCTTATTCTAGTCGATCAATTACAAAAATTGAAAAATAAATTAGAAAAAGAGAAACAACAAGTTAAAACGGAAATCGATGATTTACGTACACAAATTGATTATGTTACCAAAGGAAAATTGGCTGCTGAAAAACTATCCAAACAATTAGAACAACAATTGAACGAAATGCAAGTAAAACTCGATGATTATCTTAAACAAGTCAACGACTTCAATCAAATAAAATCAAAATTACTAGCAGAAAATTCCGAACTATCCAAACAATTAGAAGACGTTGAACATCAAGTCGGATCTTTGACAAAAGCCAAAGTCAGTTTACAAGCACAAGCTGATGAAGCTAAACGTGCTTTAGAAGAAGAATTAAGATCAAAAAATTCTATGAGTACGTACATTAGACACTTCTTTGAGCAGAATAAAGAATTCAATTATTTTAGACTCACAATTGCGTAATCTAACAGCCGATCTAGATCAAGCACGAGATCAGTTAGATGAAGAACAAGAAGGCAAATCTGAGTTACAACGACAAGTGACAAAATTGAGTGGTGAAATGCAACAATGGCGTGCTAGATTTGGAGCAGAAGGAATGGCAAGATCAGAAGAATTAGAAGAGGCCAAACGTAGATTAGCAGCCAAATTATCCGAAGCCGAAGAACAAGTACAATAGTTAAGTAATCATAATAAATTCTAATCACTTCTTTGTTTGTAGGTTGAAGGAGCATTAAGCAAATGCAATGCGTTAGAAAAAGTAAAAGCTCGTTTACAAGGTGAAGTTGAAGATTTGATGGTCGATGTTGAACGCGCAAACGCAAGTATGTATATTCTTTATGCATCTTCTCCTTTTCCTAAGATATCCGCTGCTTTCAGATGCATCCGCCATGGACAAAAAACAGAAACAATTTGACAAATTGATCAATGAATGGAAACAAAAGTGTGAAGATATCACCGTTGAATTAGAAATATCACAAAAAGAAGCTCGTCAATATTCAACTGAATTGTTCAAATTAAAAACACAATACGAGGAATCACATGAACAAATTGAAGCATTGAGGAAAGAGAACAAGAATTTGGCGGATGAACTTAAAGATCTTATGAATCAATTAGGTGAAGGTGGTAAATCTGTCCATGAACTGGATAAAGCACGAAAACGTTTGGAATTGGAGAAGGAAGAGCTACAAGCTGCTTTGGAAGAAGCTGAATCGGCTCTTGAGCAAGAAGAAGCCAAAGTTATACGTACACAGATGGAATTGTCCACAGTAAGACAAGACATTGATCGTCGTATTCAAGAGAAAGAAGAAGAATTTGAAAATACCAGACGTAATCATCAACGTGCTTTGGATTCAATGCAAGCTAGTTTAGAAGCTGAAACTCGAGCAAAAACCGAATCACTCAAACAAAAGAAAAAATTAGAATCCGACATCAATGAATTAGAAATTGCATTGGATCATTCAAATCGATCAAATGCTGATTTGCAAAAATCATTGAAAAGAATGCAACAATCCATGGTCGAATTGCAAGCACAAGTTGAGGAAGAACAACGTGAACGTGACGAAGCACGCGAAGCGGCTGCAGCAGCTGAACGACGGGCTAATTTGATTGTTGGTGAACTCGAAGAATTGCGTACAGCTTTAGAACAAGCTGAGCGTGCACGAAAAGCAGCCGAAAATGAACTAAACGATGCAGCTGATCGCATCTCAGAATTAAGCACACAAAACGCCACACTATCATCACATCGACGTCAACTCGAATCAACGGTGGCTGCCATGCAAGCTGATCTTGATGAAGCTGTGGCTGAATTGAAGAACAGTGAAGAACGATCGAAGAAAGCTGGTATGTACAGTTACGCCTTCCAATCACCGTGATATAAGTGGTTGTTTTCTAGGTGCCGATGCTGCACGTCTGGCTGAAGAATTACGTCAAGAACAAGAGCATGCATTGCATGTTGAACGTTTAAGAAAAGGTCTTGAACAACAAATCAAAGATCTTCAGACACGTCTGGATGAAGCTGAAGGCAATGCGCTTAAAGGAGGAAAACGTATCCTTGCTAAGTTGGAACAACGAGTAAGTCTTTATTTTTCTATTCCTCTATCTAACTTAATTCTTTTCCCTTCAGATTCACGAATTGGAAGGCGAAACTGAAATGGAACAACATCGTCATCAAGAAACGCTCAAAGAACTGCGCAAAACTGATCGACGTCTGAAAGAATTAGCATTCCAGACGGAAGAAGATCATAAAAATCAATTGCGTTTACAAGATTTAGTGGAAAAATTACAGAATAAAACAAAAGTATATAAACGACAGGTTGAAGAAGCAGAAGAAATAGCTTCATTGAATTTAGCCAAATATCGTAAAGTGCAAGCAGAATTAGGTAAATGTCCATCATCTCATCTCTTATTTTACTAATAAGGATTTCAATTTACAGAGGATTCCGCTGAAAGAGCTGATGTTGCTGAAAATCAATTATCAAAATTACGTTCTAAGAATCGATCAACGGTTTCTGTTGGCCGATCATCACCATCGCGTGACTTTCGTGAAGGCACACGACAACCAAGTATGATTCGTGCATCATCCGTTCGACCACGTTAAACTGTATAACGTACAGTCTCCACTTCAATTATGGCAGATACTTGAATTTTATGTTTTACCATTAAGTAATAATGTGAACTATGCAACTAAACCGTGAAGAATAATCGAATGCAACTAGCTTTGATATCTTGTCCTCTATGTTTGATTATGAATACAAGATTCTTTTAATTCTTTACATATCAGTATTTTTTGACATGTCATTAGTATCTCGCAATTATAATGTTTTTGTCCTTGGATTTCTTTGCTCTTATTTGTATTTATATTTTGAGAATGAAAATAAAATCAGGAAAATATATCAAATAAATTCAGGTCTGCTAAGAAATTAATACTGACGTGAGTAAAACAAACTTTTACTGTTATTATTAACTTACGTATAGAGATGGGTACCGGGATCAAAAAATTTTTCTGATCCCGGTAAAAGATTCGCGTGCCATTCCATTAACTTTAGTGGTAAACTAATACTTGATCACATTTTGTACAGAAATGTTTGCTCTTTCAGCCTATATATTTTAAAGTGTATCAGAGGCCTTTGTTATCAATTAATTTAGCAAATACAATGACCGGGACTACATTGCCGGGACCAACCGGGATCAATCTGGTCCCGGTCATGATATTTGCTAAATTAATTGATAATAAAGGCCTTTGATACACTTTAAAATATATAGGCTGAAAGAGCAAACATTTCTGTACAAAATGTGTGATCAAATATTAGTTTACCACTAAAGTTAATGGAATGGCACGCGAATCTTTTATCGAGACCAGAAAATTTTTTGGTCCCGGTGCCCATCTCTACTTACGTAGTATTTAGTGGAGAACTAATACATAAGAACTAGACAAATTGTTGAAAACTTCAAATAAATATAAAACATGATGAGGCATATTATTCATCTTGTTCGTATTCTAATCTATACATTTCAAAATATCGTGTTAGGATAGTGATGTAGAAGGTCTCTCAGCTTACTTAATAAACATCAGAAGTTTAACGTCGAAAGCGGAAAAAGATGAAAACGTAATCAAACTTGAGCTATGTGAGTTACTTTTAAACGCAGAACAGCCTGTTTTCCTTGCTATAATGAAAACTTAGTTGAATGATTCGGTGTCTATAGACGATATGAACATAGTGAACTATACTTGTTGTCAAAAGAGATAGACCTAATCTAAATTCTTCTAACTCTAATTGGGATGGGTGTTTGTTTTATGTTCGTAGTGATATTAATAGTTCAACGTCTTTCCTCTTCTCAACATGATGACTACGAGATTATACCCCTTTCTACGTGTTTATCCAATATAGGACAAATATTAGTCGGTCTTATATACAGACTCGATTCGAATCAGGTACTGTATGATAAAAAAGTTTTCTTTTTCTGGAAGAAATTCACATCTGTTGGTCAAAATCGATGGAGAGTTTGATGGAGAGTCTTATTTTTGGGGAGATTACAATGCCCATTTCCAGAAATGGATAACGGACAAAACTAAACCCATATCTAAACCAACAATTAAGAGAGAGAAAATAGCAGACCTCTTAGATATGCTGAATCTTCATCAGTTGGTCATAAAAACAACTAGGCGGATTTCTAATACATGTCTTGATCTTGTTATTGTTAATAATTTGAATATGATACAACATGTTGATGTTGATCCACCTCTATGTGGAAGATGTGATCATTCACTGTAAGATAATATTCAACAGTTTCATTTATAAAAACCAAACAGCGAAACGGATGGGAAAACAAATCTGAGGTTTGTAGGAAATCTGTTAACACGTTCAAACGATGCGATTTCTTTTTGTTATGAAAAAATTTCAAAAGTGTCATTTATTAAACAATGAAAACCGCATTTCTCAAGCTCTTTTAATTTTTGAGTTATGAAAAATAGTGAGTCATATCTTAGTTTGAAATAGATAGTGATACGAGTAAATATTGCTAAAAAAAGTCACAAAATTACATCCATGTTGAACAACATCGATAAATTCTTAATTAATTAATTGACAAATATATTTTCTTTATCAAAGAGTGAAGAAGAGTATTATCTATAAAGCGGTTTAAAATTTAATTTTTGTAGAAATTCAGTACCGCTACATTGTACTCAGCAAATTATATAACTTAACTTATAGAATATTCAAAATGATTATAAGTCTATTTTTTGTATGTCTAGAAAAAAAATCTAAATGCTTACGTTTTACACAATAGTCTCAACAGTCTTCATTGAATAATTGATACTTATACTTCGTTTTCAGAATTTATAACTTCTGATATTTTTTCACTGTCTCTGAATCTAGAAGTACACAACTATGTTCACATTTATCTATTTAGTAATGCATATAAAAGATTAAAACATAAAACAATAACAACTTCATAAGTAACAGAAAAGTAAAATTAACAATCAACGATCTATCAATACATTTTGTTAATCACTGAGAAGGACGGACTTTGTTTGTAATAGAAATAAATCACATTTCTCTTCTATATTTTATTATAAAAGAATTTCATGATATGTAACACGTCTAAATATATTAAGATATTTTATAGAATTCATGATAATAAACAAACAAACAATTAGACGTACTTTAATGCTTGTATAAAATTGGGTGCTCTATAAATGAGTCGATGTCCATATCCTTGCTTATGAAATGATATTAAGTCAATTTTAAATTGAAATAATTTTTTATTTTTACGATTGTCGTGACGTATAGTTATACCAGTTTGTACTAACTAAAAAATATAACTATTATTAATTGACATTGTCGCAGTGGGCAACTAGCCGGACATTTAGAAAACAAGTCGACTTTTATTTTTTTTCAAATTTTGATCAGCAGATCATTTAGATGGACATGGTGGCTATGTTTTTCTAGAATAGCTTTTTCTTGTCTTTACGAGAACAGTGGGAAAACTCAAACTGGAAAATTTGCTCAAAAATCGAGCAAAATAGCAGAAAACGTTTTTTTTACCAATTCACTTGTTATAAGTATCAAAACCAAAACCTGCAATCGTTCACTGGTCTTTGGACTATCAGATAACTAAAAACTTATCCAGATTAAATCTTAACTAGGATAGAAAAAAATATTTTTCACACTAGGAAATGTTTCCGAAATAAAGCTGATCAGTACAATGAGCGTTTACTCTTGATCATCTTTCTCTAACTTTGCATAAATATTCTTCTATGTGTACTGTATTTGTACAATTAACATAAAATGCATAAATGGTCCTGGACTATACAGTAGATTTCTCAAAATCCACTCAAAATCAAAGTGATATTTGAAATCAGCGCAAAACCCTACATCGACCCATGTATCCGACAACATATTTCTAAGCGAAAAGCTGGTATCGAAAAAAGTTCACCAGAGATCCCCTAAGGCCTAAATTTGAGAAAAAACACGTTTTGCCGGAAAAAATTTCTTCAGTCAGCCATTTGACAGAGCGTCTTTGAAAACGTTCATTATTGAGATTGCCGAATACCCTTCATATTCATGACCGTCTACTATATAGAAATTACCTACTGTGATTGTGAGAAATTTATTTTTGCAGAATTACCTGTGCACTATGTTTATATGGTACAGTCCAATCATCATCAGCATGTAAAACAATTACTGGACAATTAATACTAGTTAAATGAAATTTTGTATCAAATTTTAATCCACTTCGTATTAATGCACGATTTGTCGTATAAGAAAACCATGGTTGCCAACTAAAGAGCTAGAACAAAAATGAAACAAAAAAAGTCATAAATAAAAATATACATGTATTATGAACGAACCAATGATATCCAATGAGTTTGTAATGCTTCTTGAATATTGATAAATGGTGCTTCCATAACAACACTAGTTAATGATGTACCTAAATCGAATAACAAATTCGTTTAAGTTTATCTAATTTGACAAAACGTTTAACATACTTTTATCATCTGATAAACGTGCCGCTAATTGAGCGGCTACAGCCGCTCCTAACGAGTGTCCATACAAATAAATTGGTCGACGACCGTTATCAAATTTATTTAAAAAATCATAAATCATACGAGAATCTTTCAATAGACCACGTTCAGATGGATGACCAGTCGAATCACCAAAGCCTACAAAAAAAGACAAAAAATGATCATTTTTGTGCATGGTATTCAAAAATTCATATAAAACTAACCTCGATAATCAAATGCAAATACATGATATTTGAGCTCATTTCGCAATTTATCGCAAAGTTCACGGCGATTAATTTGAGCTCTAAACAAACAATTTTTATAATAAAAAAATTTAAGATTTGTATTTATTCGACTTTATCTTAATAAAAATATGGCGTAGTATATCAATAAATGTTCCATATTTACCTATCGAGAGCATTTCCATGCATATAAAGTATAACCGGTATTAATTGTCCATTTTTATCCGTTTGAGATGAAAAATGTTTGGAGAAATAATCTTTATCATCGACAAAACTTTTATCTTGAACTAATGGAGAACGAAAATGCCTAAAATAAAATACAGTAAATGTTAAATTATTTACTTTTATTTATCTTCTCTTACTTACCATACTCCTAATTTTACACCGGGTTCAACATCTAAATAGAAATTATGAACACGCTCAAGTCCCAGGGTTTCTGGTTGTTGAAAATTACTGGATGTTGTAACTGAAATAAAGAGTTCATTCTAACAAGTGTGAAAAGTAAGCTTTATAATACATACGAAAATTTGCAAAAACGATTGTATGCGTTACTCGAGGGTATCCGAGTAATAACAATGGAAATAAAAGTAGAATTATAAAAGTAGTACCACCAGCTACAACAAATGTCGATATAGCAATTTTACTAAAAAATAAAAAGTAATTAAATAGATCATAGATCGTAATAGTCATTACCCAATCCCAAAACTATTTATTAATGAACAAGTATTTCAAATCAATTGTTTACAATTTCACGCAACAAAAAATCAACAAGAATTTTAAATACGTGTGCAAGAGAAACAGGAGTGTGTATGGGACCAGAAAAGTCCGTTATAACTCAGTCATTTCAAAAGCTAAAATTTTTCTAAACCATTTGTTTCAAAGAAGACACTTAAAGCTTCGATCTAAAACGATCCTTAACTATGAGCAACCATCTGTCTTGGAAAAGACGGCCACAGAACCAGATTTGTATCGGTCGCGATCGGAACTTTCCACTTACTTTTGATCGCGTAGCCTTCTCCGAAACGGATGGTTGCTCAGACTTGAGGATCGTTTTAGATCGAAGCTGTAAGTGTTTTCTTTGAGTTGTATGGTTCAGAAAAATTTTAGGTTTTGAAATGGCTGAGTTATAACGGTCCCGGTAAAAGCCTCATACGCATAGGGGTGAGACAGTTCCAGTTCAGTTCTTTTGAACGGGAACTAGTCCCTAATTCAGTTCTTGTTGAAGGCGAACTGTTTACCAGCTCTTTTCAAAAAATAAAAATAAAATAAAACCGATGAACCTAGTTACATTGACTTTGTCTAGTGCGCCAGAGATAGATGGTGCGTTTAGTTGACTAAACGAAGTTAATATAACTAGCTATATCGCTTTTATTTTACTTTGAATTCTTGAAAAGAACTGGTAAGCGGTTCGCGTTCTTTTGAAAAGAACAGGAATCACTTCGCGTTTAACAAGAACTGAACTGGTGACCGGTTCTTTCGACCAGTTCTTAGGAACTATAGGAATTAGAACTGTCCCACCCCTACATACTCATCCGTGAAGAGAAAACTTCTATAACAAAACAAAAAGCATACGTGACTTATCAAACAATTTTTTGCAAACAACGCCCAAAACACTGAACATGCGTACCTGGACGTTTGAACAATTATTTTCAGCGGTTTAAAAAGTTTATATGCTAAATAAAAGACGCTTTGCGGTCAAATCACCGTTAGATTATTAAGCAACTATCGGTGCAAACTACGAATGATTGACGAGATCGCCAGTATTGGACATATAATTGTTAGCTTACAATGGAACGCCCCCAATATTCAATTGTTTTCCTCTCGAAACATACTTCATTAAATATCACTTTTGATGAGAATACTGATTCTGATATACGGGTGCCCTTGAGACCTTCCTCTATGGATCTTCGAAAATCCAGTTTCGGGGAGGACTATCTACTGGGTTTTTACTGACATAAATAGAACTATTTATAAACCAGAGAACTGTCTACTATATGAGACTTTTATCAATATGAAAACTGAGGGATTCAGTATTTTCAATAAAGTAAACAGTAAAAATCTCATATGTCAGTAAAAGATAGTCCTCAAAAATTGTTTACATTGGCAACTCAACATGCGCTACAAAACTGGCTACATGAGAATTTCTGTAATGAGATGCTGATGCGGGTTTCTCGAAACTGGATTTTCAAAGATCCAGAGAGGAAGGTCTCAAGGGCATCCGTACATCAGAATCATAATTAGCATCAAAAGTTATATTTAATGAAGCATGTTTCGACAGGAAAGCAATCGAATATTTGGAAACGTTCCATGATTAGTCAAACTTCCTTCTGTTAGCAATCTGTAGCGTTATACTCTTCAGAAAAAGTGACAGTTACAAAACAGAAACTGTATTAACTCTGCGTCTGTTGTTAGAAACTGATTATCGCTCAAATCTGGTAATCCCTTGTCCAGACGTAACTACTCAAATTTCTCAACTATTAGTGTCAAAAATACATCTACCTGGTTTTGGAAGATTGTTGAGTTGACGATGTGGATATCAACTTCGCTGTTTTTTCATTAGATCCTGATTGATTTTCGACTGCTATTTCTTCTTTAGATGACATCTATAATAATAAAACATAATTTAGTAGTTCTTGTAGATCAGATGTAACCATATTTCTAGAAAAGAAGGTTGGCAAAAGATATTACAGAGATTAAATTGGGCATCATGCATAAAACAACATAGTGAAGACGTTAAACGTACTTTTTCAATAGAAAATATATAAACCTTTTGTTACATAAAAAAATATTGTAAATTACATACAAAAAAAAGTAAAAAATTTGAAATATAAATATTATTTTCAAAAGAATCAGACAAAATTGTTATCACAAATTAAACAACTGAATATTCGAAAAAAAAGCATAAAAAATACACTCACGCACACAAAAAAAGTTTATACAATTACTGAGCTGATGTTGTTGGTGGTAATGATTCATGTTTCAAAACTAAAAAGTTACTAAAACAACAACAAAAAAGATGATGAGATAGTGGTCATTGAATGTCCCCAGATTGCTATTGGATTATCTAGTACAGCATTTTGTATAAGTTTAAATAAACTCACCAAATCTTCAACAACACCGGCAATACATGCTGTACCGGTTGAATCACCATAGTCTAAACAGAAAAGGACCATCACTATAATTAATTATTCATCAAACTATTGTAAGAATAAATTGTTACCTCTATAGTCCAATGCAACCACATGATTTCCGAAATCACTCATAACTCGATAATGATTCACACAGTAATATGTAGCTCTGAAAATAGAACAAATTTATAGAAGATTGAGCAGAAGAGAAAGTGTATATAAATATCTTGTTACATCTTGCTCAGGAAGATAAATAATAACTGTTATTTTTGAATTTTTAACATGCTGTTGTAAACTATCTTCTAACGTTTTCAAGCCAACTCATCTCATTTCATATGCGACGAAATAATATACCTGAAATAATAAACAAAATGTATATACTTACAAAATAGTAGATAAAGAGTCATTCTTATAAACTGAACTTTTATCTTCTTACATCAAACATACTTACGTATACTAATGACGTATTTTTCCACTTATATAATAATAGATAAAAGTTCACACACACACAGGATGCACTTCTGGTATAAACATCACAGCACTATCCCCCATATTCCAATTTTAATATCAGAATCAGTTGTCTGATGACAAAAAAGCTGTTGTTATATCAAACAATTCTGAATTTGACAAGTCTTTCCATGGATAATATCCAACTAGTACAACGTAAACACCCAGAAGTAATTGTTTTGAACAGAAGTTTCATTCTTCTTATGCCACGTTTGAAATAGAAGTTTCGTTAGAATAATATCACAAAAAATGATGCAAAAGTGTTGGTCTTAAAACTATCAATGTACTAACAGTAAAAATAATGGAATATAAACATTTTACAACACTATAAACAAAAGGTTACTTTATAAAGAAAAACATCAGAAAATATCCAATATCATGGTTTTTTAATTACTTGTCAAACGAATGGCTTTGATTTTGTTTCTGATATTGGAGATGGTTTTTATTGTGATTATTGTTTGCGTAAATCATCGAAAAATTTTTCTGATGACTGTCGTTTTGTAGCACTACTATTAGCAGTCATATCTAAAAGAAGAAGTAAATGATAATAATCATCATTTTATTTATCTTATTACTCATATCATTAATAAAAGAGAAATGTGTAGTCAACTATCTTCTTCAAATAAAAATCACAGATTTATCTATCAAAAACAAAATTTTCTAAAAACTAAAAAATTCAATCTAACATATTGAGTACTTATAGACAGTGTTTTATTCTATTTTTGTATTTCATCCAATATCTGATTTGGTATTGTAAATGTTTGATCATTACATATGACCAAATCATAGACAGATTTATAGACTTTTAACTTTGTTTCATTATAATTGTTTAGAAAACCAATTTTCAAAATATTTTGTAAATTTTTCATGCCAGCAATCATTCCTACATCTCCCAGAGTATCACCTAATAAAATAACATTTGGACGTTGTTTAATTTGGTTATAATAAGGTGTATCATAAATTTCATATTCATTTTTATTGAAAGCATGAATCAATTTATCTTTAAATCCTGTAAAATGGAAACTTTTTGAATCATAATCCATAAAATTTGATACAATATGAGTGGACTAAAATTAAAAAAAAAGAAACATCAACAGAGACTATACTACATTATAAATAATCGCATTTTATATTTACTTCGGTTGGTGTATGTTCTTGTAGACGAAATGCTGGAACATTAATTTCTAAAAATATTTCAATAATATCTCCGAGACCAGCTGAAAATATTAATATTGGTATTTTATCTTTTAATGAACGAGCGATAAATTCATTAACACCATCTTTAAATTCCATTTGAGATTCTTTAACTATATCAAATAACATGGATTTAGTTATATTACATGAGATTAACAAATCTTGAGCAGCTCGCCACCATTCGATCATTAATGGAATTTTTTGTTCTACTGACATATGTACATCCATTTCAAATGGATGATAATGTAGACGTAATTCGTCAGCTTTAATTCGAAGTAACGTATTGTCGGGTAACTAAACGACATTGATTAAGAAAAATTGAAATTTAGTTAAACAAACGAGAGATAGAACAATAATTTCATTTAAAAATTTTATGATTGAAGAGCCGATTCACCGCTATTGTTTCTACAATAATTGACGTAATGACATTTTACTATACTCAATAAATAAAATTCTAACTACTTACTCTAACTTTATCACATGATTCAATAACTCCAAATGTCGTTGGTAATATTTGACCGTTTTTTTCATATCTCGACAGTGTATAATCATAGTCAGCTACTATATGTAGTTTATCGATACCATCTTCAATTAGAGCTGTTAATATTTTATTTACTTGTATATGTTTTTCTTCATCAACATGTAATTGATGATTCGTCGATAGTAAACGATCAAGAATTGACATAATCTGGAAAGAAAAAATCGGATAGAATAAAAAGAGATAGTATTTATAAAGATTGTCATTGATTAGTATTAAATAGAGAAAACAAAATCATATAATTAGAAAATAGGTAAAGTCTTATCACACAATTCATCTAGTAAAAAAATATAAAATATATAAATTTTCGATAATAATAATAATAAAAATATTAATAATAAATATACAAAAAGATTGCAATATTTTAAAAAATATTTGAGTAAAATAGAAAAAAACAAAAAGCACCGTTAGATATAGCACAAAAAAATATTTACAAAAACTGAATAATAAAATCTGAAAAACAATACTATTCATAGCACATTCTATAAAATATGTTTTTGATATTCTTCAAATACACTTAATTTAATTTGACTCATACACCCGTACATCTTACTCAATAGCTGGAAGATACAGGTTGTTCCAGTTATGTTTGATCACTTCTGGTCGCCTGATTTTGTCGTAGCCTAAGTACGTTTTCCATCATATTAAATATCAAGTTGTAGCTCATTTTTAGCTCTTTTAACTGCTATATAAATGGCAGTTATCCTCTTTCGGTTAGCGGATACACGATGATTAGGAGCAACGATATTCAAAAAAATCTTTTGTCAACTATAGGTTTTAATGTCAAAAATGAGTAGATCTCTGTTATTTGGTTGCTTTGCTTATTCTCTTTTTTAAACTGTTTCTGGACAAATTATAGACTAGTTTACTCGTCAAAGTACACACACAGTTTCGAACCATATTAAACTAAATTAAAATCTTTTGACTTTTGGATTCCATGGGTCCATTGGAGTTACATGGAAAATCTGGTCTGTCTAGCTGAAAAAATTTTTTTGGGATATCGTTGCTCCAACGGATAACCGTTGCTCCAGGATAACTGACACTTATATAGCAAATAATACTACGGTTACACTACGCAAATAATCATGATTAAAGATAATCGTGATTAAACTAGTAGTGTAACCGCTACTTTACTCACGATTATTTTGAAAGTCATGAGTAACGATAATCATGTTTGAAAGATGATTATCTTTAATCGCGATTAACTTTAACCGCCTCTATCGAAAAAAGGATCATGATAGCGGCGCTTGCATATGAATGCTCAATCGCAGTAACTAATCAACCTGAACTCTGTTTTGCCTACTAAAGAATTTTTCTGGCATTACTGTACTCTATTACAGATCGATAAATGAATAATTAATAATAATTTTATAATAATAACTTTTTTTGTTAAAAATAACTACGCAGAGTTACAAGAATAAAACGAAGGCAGAAAGATCTTGATCGTCTGAGAACGAAATAAACTTGCTGCTAAATTTGTCAAAAGATGAAATGATATCCAATGATATAACAAGTCATCGGAATCGTGGCGTCCGAAAAAAAGTACAAGAAGCAGCCGATGTCAACAAATCTATTGATCAGATTAAAGAGTGTTACTGTATTCATGTTAACTTCGCCAACACAAAAATGAGTTTTCTTCTGCGCACTGAGTATTTATAGTTACGGCTATCACAAGTTAAATCACGATTATCGTTTTAATCGTGATTAGTGCGGTTACACATAATTCTGTTCGTCGTGATTAAATATTGTTAATCATGATCCAAAAAAATTGCGGTTATCTTTTAATCACGATTATTTCCGTAGTGTACCCGTAGTGTAATAGAGTTAAAACTGAGAGCTACAGCTTGGCATATAATATAAGTAACGTACTTAGGATACGACGAAATCAGACGATCAAAAGTAATCGAAAATAACTGGGACAACTTGTATGTAAAGTAGTCTCGTTGAGTGATACGCTATCTATAAATCATGAAGATTTCGAGTCACAGATTTTATAGTCCTATCTCGTGTGAAAAAAGGCTGCCGAATGAATTAAGGTTTGACGTACGTTTTTAGAGTAGAAATAAAATTAGAACATTCTTTTTAGTATGTTTAAACTTTTACTTCTACATCTTGATTTCAGATCTATTTTTCGAACGTTGAGATCGATGAAAACTACGAAGAAAGGGTGAAAAATTATTCAAAGTATTTTGTATAACTTTAGATGTGTTGTTACTATAATAGAAAAAAAAAAAAAGTTTCGAAGAAAGTATTTTTGACTCGGCTCATCCAATAGTTCAACCTACCTCACATTTATTCAAAACGGGTTAATACTAAAAGTAATGATCTAGTTTTTGGATGATAGTATCAATTTACTTTATCATTGAATTACAAAGCTGTAATAGCATCTTCTTCTTCATCCGCTTGAGATTTACGCTTCTTTTGTTCTAATTCTATGGCTAACGCTGATCGAAATGTTTCATATAATTGTACACGAGCTAAATTTTCATCTTTAAATAATTTTGTCATCATACCATGAAATGATTCTAGTTCATTTAATGAAAATAAAGTCCATTGTATTAAAATATCATTCAATGATGGAGCCTGAGAATAAACTCGAAGAAACGTTGGAATTGGACGAGCATGTAACGGATTTGCTGGTACAATTGTTCTAGGGGGTAACGAATGAACAGAAGACAATTTCTTTTGTTGTTGCTGTTGAACAACAACTGAAGTGTTTTTATCACTAATGACCAACCTAAAAACAGATATTCAAGATATCCTAAAACAAAAGAGAAATAAGATATTCTACTTAACCTATTCTGTTTTACTCTCATAAATTATAAAACAATATATTGTATTCGCATGCGAAAGAAAACCTGAACATCTCATCAAACATACTGCTCACCCTGTCGATGTTTGAACGGGTTGTTTTGAGATTCTTGTATCATCAGAAATTCGAAGGCCTAAAGATGAAAAGTAAAAGGTTACAAATAATCGATTTGGCATTATTCTTGCAAGTATAAAGACTAACTGCTTAGAAGCAAATTCTAAAGTCACGATGAATAAGTAAAGACTTAAAAATGCTCATTCTATTTCAAATCCCCAGCAAACAATCGTTTTTTAGGAATACTCGGTTCCACTGTTAATAATATCTTGTTGTATTGATTTTTCTCGAAATCAATAGAGAATAACTACGGATGCTGGTGAAAATACCTTTTAAACATTATTGGTCTAACTATCAAGGAAAACTTACGATTTTGTTTATGATTTGTATTATTTTCATTCGGCTTATCCACATCGTCATCTTCTTCTTTAACAACATCTTTTCGTAGTAGATTATTTGAATCTGTTCGGTCAGCCTCTTCAATACTCTTTCTGAAAAATAAAGCAAATCGATTTAGTTTATATCTTACAACGGAGATTAGAAGACGTGCCTAACTGGATCACTATATGCTTTTCGCTTTTGCCGCTGATTACCATCTTTTCCATATAACAATCTTGAGAATTCTCTATCGTACAATATTTGTGAACATACATCACTGTTTGTATTCTGACTTTCGGAATCTGTCGTTGTCACAACTGTACCTTTGATCCCTGTTAGTCGATTGATAGCTGGTAAGGCCGAATGAGATCGTTCGATTGAAGAACGAGGAGGCGGTGGGTGACTAGATATCTGTTGAGTCGGTACAGGACGTTGTTCCTGATGGTGTTGTTTTGAAGGAACAATATTTTCGTGTAGGATATTTAAGAATATCCTAGGTGGTACAGAAATCACAGAACGAGGAAGTGAAACATCATGCTCTTGTGGTTGATTAACACAAAGTAAAACATCAAATAAAGAGGGATTAGTAATAGTGGTTAATGGAAGAGTCGGTTGTTGCTGTTGAAATGAACGAATATAATGAGATTCATTGTTGGTCGCTAGAAGAATAGAAAAACCCAAGTTTAATTAACGTTGCATCTTGAAATGAAATATCTGACCTGTCATCCTATTCATCTTTGTTCGATTTGTTTGTAAAACACTGGATGAATAAGAAGGTGGTGGCGGTCTGTTTCCATTTTGATTTGACAATATTGATGGTGGAAGTATCACTGTTGGCTTTTGATTGTGAACATTTGTTGATAAATTAAATAATTGTTGTTGTTTATTTGTTGTTGATAAAAACCGCCAAGATGGGTCAGGCGTCGTGTTTGCTCTTGGTGGGGGATGAATATAAAATTCTTTACTTTGCTCGACAGATGCTGGCCGCTGTGGATAACTGTTGTAATATTTTTCCACTATTTCATCGACGCTAGAAGCTGAATGAGTAGGCGGTTGTTGAACCGGAGCCTCTGAAGATGTTAAGTAAGTTGACTTCGTTCCAGTTTCATCATTGAATGAATGTTGATTTAATAACTGTTCAAGTGACGGTGAATAATATAATGCTGGTCGTTGCTCTTTCGTTTGTTGTACTTGTATGGTTGTCTGGTTTAATTTTGAAGATAAATCTGGACAACTGTCAGTGATTAATAATGATTTTAACTGTATCATGTTTGGCGTTGTGGTTGTAGCTGGTGTAGATGAGCGAATATCTGACATATTATTTAAAGTTAATCGAGAAGATAAATCATCGGAGAGATCATCGTATAAACGTGAAATATGGGATGAATTAACTGAAGAGGTTGATATCGCTCTTTGTTTGATGGCGGTTTGTCCTTTAGAAATTGTCATTGGTTGAGTTAAACCGTTTTCTACTGTTGTGGCTTTTAATTGTCCAAATGTAATCGGTTGTAAATCAATATTAGTCATGTTTTCCGCGCCTTTCAATTGTCTGGGAGGCGCCGGAACACCGCGACGTCTTAGTGTTTCTAGCATAGTTACGATTCGACGATGAAGTAATTTCGAATGAACACGCGATGAGGGTGAACCACAGTCATTTGCAGTAGTAACTATTCGTCCCATGCTTTGCGGCGAATCGTTTTCAACACTGTTATTATCAACGTTACTATCGAAATTATTATTGTTATAAGCAGAAGACGCTAGAAGTTCAGCTATTTTTGAATTAAAACGATTATCATTACCAACACCAGAACGAACACCTTAACAAACAAAATCAAGATAGACAATACAAAATTATAATAAAAGCGAGTTGCGTACTATTGATCGGTGGCGGTCCATCTCTTGGAATATATTTGCCAGGGATACTTCGTTGAAATATAACTTCCTTTTTTTTAGGCATCTAGAAAACAAAACAGAAATGTTAAAGCATAATACAACATAGCTATAGGTCCGTTTTTTGATCTATGCAACATAAGCCTAACAACGACGTTTAGACATTTTTCCACAGATGGCTTCACCCGTTTCTTGGATGTCATATCTCACAATATTACTCGAAACAAAGTACTTTTACTTTAGTAAAATATGCTAGTTTCAGATAAGTCCAAAGTTTAGAATGACTAAAAAGAGCTCTTCACTATGTGTGATGCGAATTTGAGGACGGTGAATGTAGTTTAAAAAAAGCAAAAAAACAAAATTATTTTATTGGTCCTATAAAAACAACAAAAAAAGCGTCCGTGTTTTATAAATCACCAAGAAAGTAATCCAAAAAGTGCGAGAGGTCGCACACTGTGCAACGATCGGGGGCCTGTTTCTCAAAACAACTTAAGTTTCACTTAAGTGAAAAGTTTCACTTAAGTCAAAAATTTCACTTATGTAAAATTTTTTACTTAAGTAAAACGTAAGTTTTTTTGAGAAACAGGCCCCAGGACAAATGGAAAGTGTGCTTTTTTCAGTACTGAATAATATTCTTTAATATATGGGCTTTCTAATGCCGAAAGAATTTTGGTTCTAACTATAAAGGATCGTTCAAAAACACTTGGCCAAAAATGGGCCCAAGAAGATGACACTAGTTGAAAAAAATACTTTTCCGAAAAATATTTTTCTTATAAGCTATAAGATCCAGCGAAGTTATAATTAAAAATCATTAAGAATCTGAATCTAGACATGTTTCACTATTCAGTTATGAAGAACGATTTCGTTTTTGACATAAAACACCAGAAAAAAAAAATTATTTTCCAAATAGCTTCAAGCTTAGACAACAACAAGCATAGATCAATCAATATGAGTTTGCTAAAGTTTGCTAAATCACAATAAAATCTGACCCAAAAATATACCAAAATGTTTGTTTATGTGTCCTGAATCTATAGTGCACGCATAAAAAAATGCATAAACTTTCTCGGGCTTTTCTCAGACGTACTGCAAGACACCCTCGATGTTTTAGATAAAATCCTTTTTTTCGGTTCAGTAACGTTTTTATACAGAAATAAGGTCATATTTGGAATCAGCACAAAAACCTGCTTCGAATGATGTATAATACAAAACTTTTCCAAGCAAAAAAAGCATTTTCGAAAAAATTTGGGCAAGTCCTAACGTGAATCTTCCAAGTCTTTTTTTAGGTACCTTTGCTAGCCTCAGCCAAGTGCTAAAGTACCTAACAAGTCATGTTAGGTACCCATCCAAGTAATGTCATAGGCACTTAGACATACTTGGCATACGGCAGCCAAAGTTCTTATATACCCGAATTCACGTACATTCACTAGGAAGGGTCCCTTCTCCCTCAAGGATTTTTGATTGAAAAAAATTTTTTCCGAAAACTTTTTCTTGCTCGAAGGTAATCCTCTTAATGATAGAAAATCGTTTCTAAGGAAAAAAGAACGGTTTCGAAAAAAACCGAAGAACATCTTCTTAGTTAACCAGTTTTTTTCTTAACCAAATAACGCTAGTCTAGTAAGCTGAAAAAATTTCAGGACGTATAAAATTCGTAGTATTCTGTACAAAGTGGGAAAGTTTAAGGAAAAAATTCAAGAGTTAAAAATTCCACTAGTTATTGACCGAGAGAAGATTTTTCACAGTACCGTACAGCTAGCTGATTTAAGCTTTATTTGTTGATAAATATGAAAAAGAAAAAACACAGCAAAAAAGGAAGACGTAGAAGCCTGTGATACTATTTTTGACTGTCATCCAAAATAACTTTTGTATTCAGAGTTTTGCTTCAGGATGCTTGCTTCGATCGAAGCTAGGCTCAAGGTATTTTCAAACTACTTGGAGCTGCAATTCCATCGAGAAGATAAAAGTTAAATTTCTGCCTCAAACTTCATTGGAAAAGTTGATCATATTTCCCCATGTACTGTTTAATATCCTCTATCAAACTACAATAGAATCAACTCTTCATATGAAAAACCGAAGTTTCAGTTGAAATTTGAAATTTCAACTGAAACTTCGGTTTTCATATTAAATTGTCATAGTTTTTTTTCCATTTTTAACTTAAAAATGGAAAAAAACTATGACAATTTAATAATTAAAAACTATAAGTTCAAGAATCGAAACACTTTTTGAGACTTATACTCGAAATCTATAATTCTACAAACTAGTGAGAGAACTTTTCACAAGAGTCATATTTTCGTTCATTTTTTAATGTTCTTTCACAATAATACTGTAAATATTCTTCTGCCCATTTATTGCCCGTTTTTAGGCATTTTAAAAAGAAGCGTTAAAGTGACATTTTTTAATTGTCTAAAAACAAGCATTTAATATCACATTTAATGCACTTATAATGCATTTTTAGCATTATTAGAGTTTAATGTTTAATAGAAGAAAATCATATGTTCTTCCAACAAAACCACTGTTTTATACATAATAGTGAGGTCTGCAAAATAAAATGATGAAAGACTGACTGTCAATCTGGAATAAAACAGCATGCAATTTTTATGCCTGTTTATTGCCATTATTTCAAATGGTCTGATAAATGGCATTTGATCATGAAACCTTTTTTATTCTCTGCTATATGCACAGTTAAATACTCCCACGGCGTCAAAATCGCTTAACTTTTGCCGATTTTGACGTAAAATTGTGATTAATCGCGATTTTTCTGCTGTGTTTCTGTGAAAACAAGCGAAAAAGATCACCGGTTAATCGCGATTACTCACAATTTTACGTCAAAATCGGTAAAAGTGTGGCGATTTTTATGCATCAGTCAGTCCGGTCTCACGAGCGATATCCCGGTCGGGCTAGATATGCCGTTCGGAATATACCCTATATCCCGAATATCCGGGATATCCAGGAAATTTATATCCTGATCGGGATATTTCTGCAAAACATTTTGGAAAAAATCATTACCGCAAAAATCGTGACGTTATTGCAGAAAAGCGAATATATATCCTGATCAGAATATCATAGCCCGAACGAGATATATATCCTGATCAGAATATATATATATAATCGACAATTAACGGTGACATTAATGGTTAGTTTTTCAACCATTATTATCAATTAAAGAAAATTTTTTAGCCATTCAGTTAATTGTGGATAGACCATTAAATGTCTGCTGTAATTCAACTGGTGGGCTGTTATTAGATGGAAATTACAACATAATATTGCTATAAAAATTGGCTACTCTTATTTTCTAACATAGTAAGACGCAAGTTACACATCCCTAGTCGAGACTCCTGTCATGGGGTCCTGCAGAAGTCAGGTGGGACTTTCCAGGGATTTCTCAGGACTCCCGTGGGACTTTGAGGATTCTGAGGATTTTCCTTGGACTCGAAAGTTCCACAGGAGTCCTGAGAAATCCCTTGAAAGTCCCACCTGACTTCCGCAGGACTAATAAAATTAACACAAAAGTATACAAAACGAAGACTTAAGTCTAGACTTAGTTAAGTCAAGCACTTAAGACTTTTTATGAAACACCCTTCTACCCTAAAGGTTGACCTTATTAGTGATGATTTTTATTTGATGCATTTCTATTGGTTCTTCCACATAACCAATAATATTTTACTTGTGCTATAGCTATCTGATTATACGATGAAATAGCTCTTTTTAGTTAAATAAAAATAGTAGCAAGTTACTAGCAAGCAAAAAATACTAGCAAAAGAAGTAGCTGAAGGAAAGATATGTTAAGAGGTCTCAATTCTGGTTATTCAAAACAAAGTCGGCGGTAATAATCACAACGTTGCTGTCAAGCGCATCGTTTTCGTAAAGATCAACGGCACAGTGCTAAAAAAGTATTTCTTAAATTCTGTTTTTCTAATTCTTCAGTTGATTTCCAAACATTTAACTGAATATCCACAATGTCATTCATCAAACGTTTCAATACATATTGTACGGTACCATTCTGAATTAATAATAGAGTACATTTTTAAATCAGTGCAGTTATGAGAATGGTACGTATATGAATATTTCTGCTAGTTTTCGTTTAAATCACTATGCTGAGTTAAGATTCGATCAGCGGTATTCAATGAAAAAAAAATTTTTGGATCGATCGAAAAATATATTTGAACAAAATTGAATTATTTGTTCAGACACTGAACAATGTTTTAACTGACATTCAACTCGATTCGATCAAAAATATTTTATGGTAGAATTTTTCTACCTGCGATCACCTCAGGACACTGTTATATTTCTTCACATTCATTTAGATTGAAACAAGTGATTTTCGACCATTTGAAATATGAAAACAAATGATGTATAATCGATGATGAATCCAATACGTTTTTTATGTTTACAAAGGCCTAACACATTAGCAACATTTTATAAGTTCAGCGCTTATTTACCACTGCAAAGTGAGAACACTGTTATCTTATTGTTTCAAACGTGAAATTGTACTATTCATTCTATAGTAAACTTTGACCTTTATTATCCTGTATGGCATGGCATGTTTTAATGGTTCCCTAATGTCTGATGCAATAATGTCGCCTTAGATGTATGATAACGTTCTATGCTTATTCTGTTCAAATATTTCCCCTGTCTGTCTCCACTTTTGACAATTTAGATTACTTTTAGAGATTTTCCTAGAGCCTTTACTATTTTATTTTTGAATAGGTGAAAAAAGTGTTTGTGTATTTTTTATTCAAGGTTGTTTTACTCATACGCAATTCGCATTTGATTTAAGCTCCTATTTTGTGCTAACTGCTGTTTTATGTAATAGATTTTGTTCAGTTACCATTTACTGGTATTTATAATGTCTATGGCTACTTTCCAGTGTCGGCTTTTACTTGATCAGGATTTCCTGTCAGGTGCTGGACTCACCCTAAAAGCATTTTTGATGTTCCTGGCAAAATCTTTGATGTTTTCCCACCCACCAGTAACTTTCTGCCAAAAATTACGAAAGCTTTTTTTCGTCAGCTACTTTCTGCGAAGCAAAAGTTTTTAGCCCCTCCCATCCGTAAGAGCAACTGGAAAGCCAGTGATTGATAAGTTTTAAGAATGTAATAAAGACTCATTTACTCTCTCATTAAAAATGTCTAAAACGTTTAACGAGATATATGTACAAAATCCTATATTTTCATGATTTTTTTTCTAAAGAAAGGAACAGAACGTAATGAACAGAGTATTTTGACTCTAATATGTGAATTTCAATGGTGAATGTACCGGACTTAAGCAGTAGGTTTTATTAAAAACGCTTAATATTCGCGTCATTTTTTGTTGCTTTATTTTAGATTTCGATTAACGAAAACGAATACATGCTGTTTGCGCAAAATATGTGAATGCGCTTATCTTTTAGCTTATTTTTATCTAAACTTTGTTTATTTCCATTATTTCAGTCGTTATTTTGTCTACTATTATTTACAACTTGTACAATTTATTCTCTAATGGCTTGGCGCTCTTCAGGACAAACTCATCAAAATCTAATCACAAATTTAGCTAACAATGGAATTATTAAAGATGAGAATATTAAGGAAGTTATGTTGAAAGTAGATCGAGGTGATTTTATTGATTCAAATCCTTATATGGATTCACCACAATCGATTGGATCGTCTGTAAGTTAAAAATATTGTTTTTTAGACATCCATGGCTTAATATCGATGGAAGACAGTTGTGATATGAAACTAAATATCAATTTATTTAAGGGGGGCATTTAACGTTCTCAGTTTGTAGAGGATACTTCGGAGTATATGTTCTGAAGTTTTCCCGGCTTACTGACTTTATTTGGCTGAGAAAAAAAATTAATTACTTAAAAAAGTATTGTTAAGTTCTTGCACAAGGGACTATTATTAAAAGAATTCCTGTCCATTCTCTATTCATCATAAAAACTTGATTCTTATCTAGATCGATAGAGAAATGTGTGGAGATTCTCCACACATTATTATCATATATTCTCCACTGGAGAATATATGATACAAGAAAATATGTAAACATTTTTGTTCGTTCTTTCTCTGTTATTGACTAATTAGCACTAATTAACATTAATTTAGCCCTTCACTAACTTACAGTCCCATTTGCAAAATAAGAACTCTACAAAAGAATTTAAGCAATATCTCACCTAATAGAGGATTTCACGGGCTACAAGAATGGCTAGCTTAAAAGTTTTAGAATCCATTTCATTCATTAGAATTTTTTTATAACAGCCCCGTACTCAAAAATTTAATAACATTTTTTTAAGTAATTAATTTTTTTCTCACCCAAACAATGTCAGTAAGCCGAGAAAACTTCAGAACATATACGTCGAAGTGTCCTCTAGAAACTGGGAAAATTTAACAAGAAAATTCAAAACTAAAAAATTTCTCTATTCATTTTTAGCTAAGTGAAAATATTTTCACAACACCTTGAACCAAATTTCACTCGAAGGAAGCGTTTTCAAGGAAAAGTGTGGATACGAAAGCTGTTCAGAATCAGATTTCTTGGAATAAGAAAGAGGGATTTTTCAAAATTCGTTAAACTGGGCTTTTAAATTTAAATTTTACTAAATTTTAAAATTTTAAAAGCCGTATTTTTCAGTTTAAAAATCGAGTTTAATGAATTTTGAAAAATCCATATTCTAGGGAATCTGATTCTGAACAACTTTCGTACCCGCACTTTTCCTTGAAAATGCTTCCTTCGAGCGAAATTTGGTTCAAGGTCTTTTTAAAAATAGTTCTTGCTCCAAAATGCTGTCGGGCAGGTCAAAGCGGAATAACTCAGTCAAATCTTGACCGAATTTTTTGTAGATACATCTTGATGTCCTCTATCGATCGGCATCAAAACTGAGATTATATGTAGAAATCTGAAAATTTTATTAAACTTTTAAAAATGGAGCAAAAAAACCGAGACTAAACTTAAAAATATATTTTCTCAAAAACTACAGGTCTGGTACCCAAAAATGTATTGAGATATATACGTCAAAATGTCCTCTACAAACTGATAGGAAAACCGAGTAGGGAAACCCCCCTCTTAAGGTGACTCTCTATGAATATTATCTCTTTCCGTTTTGTTTTTCTAATGTTTTCTATACGTGCCTTTCTTTTGTCCTTTTAGGTAACGATTAGTGCTCCACATATGCACGCATATGCCCTCGGTATGTTAAAAGATAAACTTGTACCCGGTGCAAAAGTTTTGGATGTTGGAAGTGGAAGTGGATATTTGACAGCGTGTTTGGGTTTGATGGTACAAGGTACGGATAACAATGGACGAGTGGGCAAGGCAGTGGGTATTGAACATATACCAGATTTAGTTAAAAAATCCGTAGATAATATAGAAAAACATCATAAACAATTACTAAGAGATAAAGTTGTGGAAATTGTTGAAGGTGATGGACGAAAAGGTTATGAGAAGGAAGGTCCCTATGATGCAATTCATGTTGGAGCAGCTGCTCCCGATACTCCTCAGGAATTAATTAATCAATTGAGTATTGGTGGTCGGCTGGTGGTTCCAGTGGGAGGTTATAGTCAAGAGATGATGGTGTATGATAAACAAGAAGGAGGAAAAATAAAATCGCATTCAGCTATGGGTGTTATGTATGTACCATTGACCGATAAAGAAGCACAACTAGGTCTTAAAAGTTCAAGTCGACGAGCAGATCTTTAATTGCCTTAAAATTTATGTATTAAACAAGCAAACCTGATGTTTTTTTTTTTTTCACTTTTATTCTGCCTAGTATAAATATTCCTTGTGTTGATTTTATCAGATCAAAAATTCAAATATACAACTGAATACAAATAACTTATTCTTTCACTAATCGAATCAATGGCAGCGTCTGACATGAATTGACAGTAGTGTTCATTTATACATAATTTCTCACTGGTTTAATTTATACCCTGAATATAACTTTGTTATCTATTTCAGACGTATTCGTCGAGGAAAGTGTAAACATGTTATCGAAACGTCTTCTAACATATATTGCTACTATTCCATCTCGCCAGCTTCACACAACATCCTCGTTATTTCAGCAACAACAAACGGCGACTAAATCTGCCTCTTCTGCCGATGCTCAAATTTATCAGAAAACGCGGAAAAACCTCTATATCAACGAACAAACACGTGTGATTTGTCAAGGTTTTACCGGAAAACAAGGAACATTTCATAGTCAACAAGCACTCGATTATGGAACTAAAGTAGTCGGTGGTGTATCACCAAAAAAGGCTGGTACAAAACATTTGGGTTTACCCGTATTTAAAAATGTAGCTGATGCGATGAAAGAAACGGGTGCAACAGCCACCGTCATCTATGTACCACCGCCTGGAGCTGCTGAAGCGATTCTAGAAGCAATTGACGCTGCAATACCATTGATTGTATGTATTACCGAGGGTATTCCACAACATGATATGGTCAAAGTAAAACATCAGTTAATTCGACAGGATAAATCGAGATTAGTTGGACCCAATTGTCCAGGAGTTATTGGTAAGACCTTATTGTATTAGCTATTGATCTAACCAATAGTACAAGTTTTCGATACCATCTTTCTAGCTCCTGGTAAATGTAAAATCGGTATAATGCCTGGTCATATTCATCGTCCTGGTCATGTTGGTATTGTCTCTCGTAGTGGTACTCTAACATACGAAGCTGTCCATCAAACGACTCTGGTTGGTCTCGGACAATCTCTGTGTGTTGGTATCGGTGGTGATCCTTTTAATGGTACAGATTTCATCGATTGTCTTGAGTTGTTCATCAAAGATCAACAAACACAAGGTACTAACATCTAAATCAATCACTGCGCGTAACATCTGTATCCTTAAACTTGTTTCAGGCATTATTTTAATCGGTGAAATTGGTGGTAATGCTGAAGAGGCAGCCGCCGATTACTTATTACATCACAACAATGGAATTCATGCTAAACCTGTTGTAGCATTCATCGCCGGTGTTACGGCGCCACCTGGCCGTCGTATGGGACATGCTGGTGCAATAATTTCTGGGAAATCAGGTGGAGCTGATGGTAAGATTAGTGCGTTGAAAGAAGCAGGTGTTACAGTGAGTAATTCACCAGCGAAAATGGGACATTTAATGTATAAATTAATGAAAAATGAAGATTTTCCGATGAGCAAACAAGATTCACGGTAAGAGAGAGGGAGTTATACCTGAACTGGTCACTATTTTTCTGTAGGGCAACAACCTCTTCTTTTTCTCTTCTTGAGAACACACTGTCTTGCTTAGCTATTTTATATAACATATTTTATTGAGAGAGAACGTGATTGTATTTTTCAAATTTTATGTTTTTTCGTTGTCTGTTTTGAGTTTTATTTAATATACAGACCGAGAGAACAACGACAAATTTTTCAGTTTACGTTCATTTTTTGATTTTTTTTTCATTTGTATTGGAAGAATAGTTTATATTACACAACAAAAAATGAAAAATCCCCAGCACCTAATTTCTTTTCTTCTGCTCATCAAGGTGGAATACTTTGGATTGAGTTTTGAGGTGATAGGTTTTATCTGACAAGGACCGCTTTAATGCAACCTCACAATGGACAACTCCTAACTATTGATCTCGACTATATATTTAAGAACTAAGGAAAAAACAGTAAAGCTTTGATGATTAGCATATTTTGCTTATAAATGAAACTAGTCTAGATTAATATGAAAATGTATTCTGCTTAACATCTATTAGTAGAGAGTTTTTTTTTAAATATTAAATAGTATTGACTTTTTTCTGCGTATTGCTAGCTTTTCAACATTGTATTCATATTTAGAAAAGTAAAATATGTAGATAAAACTTTGGCTGTTTGCAGTATGAACTTTTGTATTGAGTAAAATTTGAATTAAATAATAATTGTCATTTGTTTTAAATTTATTATAGGAAAAAAATATAATATGAGCATGTTGAGAAACCTTCTGTAGAAGAAGGAGAAAAAGGATGATAAGAATACGTTTATTCACGAATCAAGAAAATTGGTAGTGGTTATTTGCTTTAGCTTACAATATTTTATCATAAAAATATAGTTTTCATCATCTGGCTAGTGTCAATTCTATTTAATTTGTACAAAAAAAATTGTTTTCAAGAGTATGTTCTTCATTTGTTTCTTCTGATTTCTTGGTACAAATTAATTGAAAGATATTAAAGCCTATAATGTATGCAATAGCAAGAATAATGCTTTTTTTAAACTTTTCTTCCAAAGAGATGCAGAGATCAACTTTATTGAGTGTATAAAAATAGTTTATCAAAACTAGAAGATCACGTTTTTGCCATTGGTTTTTATAAGACACTTGTTTCTCTAAAACGTTAAGGTGTCAAAAACCATTAACACTGCTAACTGAGAGACATGCCATTGACATATTGACGATTGGATTTTATTTCAATCTAAAACGTTATTAGACATATATACGTTTCTCCTACTTCCAAAAAAGAATGAGAAATTATGCTGAAATATAATGACATAAAATGTAATTAGACTATACATAGGACTTTAAATAAAGAAGATTACTTTTATTTACAATCAGAATAACAAGAAGAAAAAAAGTTGCAACAAGCATTTGATAGAAGTTTACTGATTTAGCGCTCAGAATTTAATAACAGATTCGATTATTGTCTTAAACTGAACAAAATCATCGATATTTAAGAAAGAAAAATTATCAAAAGATAATTAGGCAAGTGGATAAATGACGATGAGCATGAATATAACTCTAGAGAGAAAAGGTAGCGTATTACCGTCACGTTTTGATTTGACTTTCTAGGAATAAGTTTTCAGAGAATCTGAATAAAGAGTCTAAATAAATATTTTGTCAAGTAGCTACTCGAAGAATCAAGGACTTCAATATTACTTTACCTTTTTGTAAAGTACTCACAGAAATTCATAAGTAAATAAGTACTACCTCGCAAATGCATTCACTAGGATATAGACAATAAAATTTAATATTTCCAGACAATCATTTGTACAATTATTTCAACGACTGGAACAATTGCAGGTATTAAAAAGTCCATTTTACTACCTATCTGTCATCAGTTTAATCAAAAGTCGTTTGAATGATTAGTCAAGTGTTCTGTTGAGTTCACCTACTGATGGATACCTTTTTAGCAGTATAGATAGATTTTTACATAAATTTCACTCGAACTAGCCACTTTACTATGAAACTGTTACTTCACATTGATTTAATTTGATTAAATTTAATAAAATAAGACTGAAAAAAGTAAAAACTCGTCATCACACACATCACTATTCTATATACATGTCTTCAAGTAAAATGATAATATACAATATCAGAATAATCAGTAGTAAACTACTGTACTGCACATGGTAAGTTATATTATACTTCATAATACTCTGCTCAAAACTGAAAAACAACATACTATGGCGAAGCGACAGTGGATCTTTGCAGACAGATTTTTAAACAGATCTGATTTCCATGTGTATATAAGTACTAGATGTGGCTAACATTATCATGTTGTACATATGTAATTGGTTTTTTTGGTAGTATCCATTAAATACAGAGTCTCGCGAACAAACCGGGCACAAAACTCTTGTTTCTTGAAATTTCAATTAAAAATCGTAAACCGGGTACTAATCAATGCAATTGAGGGACATATTTCTTTTTCCGGGCACAAAAATGTAAAAACATTTATTAGTGCCCGGCGGGCACTAATCAGTAGCATCGGGCACAAATAAATGAAAAAGCCGGGCACAAAAAATAATTTTCTCACTTTTGATCACCAAATCAATTAAAGAAAATTTTAAAGAAAATATATATAAGAAGAATATATAGTAATTAATTAGCAATGATTATCAATTAATGAGTAGACAGACAAGGAAAAGAATATAAAGAAACTTTCATAACATTCAGTAAATGTCCAAAAGACTCTTTCATGCCCATGACTTCCACCTCTTCCTCTAACTTAATCTACAACATGTTGTAACATAGCTTATTACTTGATTAAAAATGAAGAAACAACTGTTAAAAATGCAAGCATCATTAACGACATTATCAAATTATGTCAGCAGAATAACAGACAATCCGTGATATCGTTCGATAAAATAAAAGTTCAATCGCGGGGCTTTGCAAACAATTTTTTGCCTCTAAAACGTTAGTTTTATTACATTGCTGTGTGCCTAGAGAGATTGTTATAGAACACCCATTTATCACAGGTGTCACGGCGCCACCTGATCGTCGTATGGGACATGCTGGTGCAATAATTTCTGGGAAAATCAGATGGAGCTGATGGTAAGATTAGTGCGTTGAAAGAAGCAGGTGTTACAGTGAGTAATTCACCAGCGAAAATGGGACATTTAATGTATAAATTAATGAAAAATGAAGATTTTCCGATGAGCAAACAAGATTCACGGTAAGAGAGAGGGAGTTATACCTGAACTGGTCACTATTTTTCTGTAGGGCAACAACCTCTTCTCCTTCTCTTCTTGAGAACACACTGTCTTGCTTAGCTATTTTATATAACATATTTTACTGGAGAGAGCGTGATTATATTTTTCAAATTTTATGTTTTTTCGTTGTCTGTTTTGAGTTTTATTTAATATACAAACCGAGAGAATGTTAGTCGATCTAATGTAACCATTTAGTAACCGTCCATAGACTTGAATCGAATGAAAATTCAAGCTCAGCGATGAAAGACTGAACAGATTTTTATCGTTGCAGGTGAATTCTACTTTCTGTACGTTGATTATACTGATTAGGTTCCAGAAAATAAATTTATACATATTGAGATTAATTATATCCATTTATTGGAAAATCTCTAATTTTCTAGATTCCAACGTTATTCTTTATTCCAAATATTGTTTAATTTCTCAGAATATTTATTTACACTATTATCATCCAAAAAATCCTTTTTCTGTCGCACCCTCCCTCTCACGTAATAAAGAAGTGAAAAGAAAAAAAGAGAAACATTTCTCCAAAAAAAAGCCGGATGTGCTGATAATAGAAGTAATTTTTTTTTGTTCAATCGGAGATCATTTTGATTCAGATATATATATACTATTATCATCGGTATTATCACCATTCACTATCAACACTTCTAAAACGAGAACAGAAATTTTACTGTGTGCTGTTCGTCTCATATTTTTCTTTCCATTTTAACCATAGATCACTCTTCTCTCTAAAATAGTCTATAAGTGTTGTATAATTGGAGATCGTTAGATCACAAATTGATTTAATATGGAATTATTTAGTGTTCGAATCTATGTGCAAATAATACTATTTTATATGTTTTCGACCGTAAGACTTGTTGATTTAGAAATTATAAATATTGGTAGTGTACCATTTTGTAAGTATACAATAAGAGCTTTTTTTACTCTAGAAATCATCGTGTTAACTTTTTTTATCTTTTATTCAAAGTTGTCATGCAACAAAATGTAATTATTAATCAAACATTACATTCCTATTGCAAAGAGCAGGCACAATTTAATGAAATACCAATTTTTGTCAATTTAACACAGTAAGAGAAACGACTCTAAATTCGTGATGATAACATCTTCATATTTTTCTTGTATTAGATGGCCATCTGGAATTATTTATTCGAAAAATCCATTTCCACAATCCGGTATGTATGTTTTCCTTTTTTTTCATACGGATTGATATATTTAGTAGAAAAAAATGACATGAAACCCTAAACAGAAAATAACCTTTAATTTAGAGAATAATGCTGAATGAGATGATGTAAAATATTTCCATAAGACGGATACTACTCTAACTTATGTGTTAGTAGTATGCGTTACGAAATAGTTTTACAAAAATTTTGAAGAATTGAATCATATTTCTCGGGGGGGGGAGCAAAAACTGCGTAACGTGCAACGAGAGAAGGACTAATATACACTTCTTTGTTTATCGACGTTTATTTCTTCTCATAGAGTAGTTGATTACGCTCGAGATGAAGTGTGTACAATGGAATTAAGAGCAAAGCAGAATCAACGTATTCGATTAGTGTTTTATAGTTTTTCTGCTACTGTAAGTGATAGTTCAGATAGCAGAAACTACTTATCAAAACCATGTTTAAAAATTATACAAGTAGATATATTGTAAAGATATTTTAACGTAGAAAATTATGTGTATCGTTTTTCTATAGGATGTTAACTCTTATAATTTATGTGATTCATCGAATTTTAAAGATATTTTTGATTGGTTATCAACAAATAATGCAGTTACATTAGAATGGTCACATGATTATGATGATGATTTAGAATATCAACAACGATATGATTTCGAATTATTGTTTGTGACATTTACGCAAAAGAAAATAGGTAAATTCATTCAAATATGAAAGAAACGCCTTATTTTTGTTTTTTTTATTTGAAGATGATTATTGTCCAACAAATATGTTTGACTGTAATGATAATAGCAGTATGTGTATTGATAGTAGCTTAAGGTGCAATGGATTGAATGAATGTCGTTCGGAATATGATGAATTCGATTGTAAACAATTAACATCATCAGCCGTATCATCGATTACTGTCAGATATTTTTGGCTATTTGTGTTATACTTTAACACATTGACATAGATCACTACCATTATGACATCGACATGTTTTATTTATTGAACATTGACAATGCAATGGATAAGGATTATTACATCCAAGTTTTGTAAAACGAGAAAATGAGACAAGATCTTTGAGGTGTACAGTTTTCGTACCAATTGCTGGTTGATCACGTAAAGATGGCGTATTACGACGATAACCTTTGAACAACACAATAATAATAATAAGTGTAGATTTTGATTAAAACTAAACAGTATTCTTACCAAAGAGGCCATTGTAATTCAAAACAGGTTCTGGATTATTTAGAAATAATTGATGACCAGAGGCTTCATCGATCGAATGACCTAGATTTGTGTTCCACTGTAAGTTTAATAAGATTTAGAATTTCTTCTCTCAGTCGATGCGATTTTCTTGATAACTATCAGGAAACAGCTCAGTACAGTTTTTTGTAGAACATGGTGACTCATATATGTCATAGAAATTCAAAAAACAAGATTAGTATCGAGAGGAGACAGTGCCCGAAGCGAATCAGGATTTCTTGATTCAGTTCGATTCGATTCGCGACAACATTTTCAAATCCTGAATCTGTTCAATTCGATTCGGGCCAGTTCAAAGAAAATTAAAACTTTCTTCTCTTTTATTTCCAAATGTTTGTTTAAAATGCACTGCCTCGAAGTGGAACACTTGAGCAGAACATATCATTTATGTGGCTAGAACTTTGAAACATGAAATAAAATTCTCGTTCAATCGCAGCTGAGCTACAAGGAATTGAAAAGATCTCAATATTAATGATAAAAAAATAACCGAACGTCGGTTATGTGCCACATCCATTCTGGTGCTCTCAAAAATTCTATCTTTGAAAATGAATTTGATTAGATATCTAAATAACTCGGTAAAATATATCATATGTTCCTCTTTCTAACGCGATTATATATTTCTGAGCGTTATAACAGACAAAAATATCAAAATTTTATTACATGGTACTTTTGTTACTTTATGCGATGTCATTGCAGCTTAGCTTGACTAAAGGATTTTAACTGTGCGACTGATTCGTCTTGCAGAAATCAAATTCGGTTCGGTTCGGCAAGCAGTCGAATCGAACAGAACCGAATGTCGAATCATTCGATTCGTTTCGGGCTCTGAGAGGAGATGTGCGAGAATCTTCTATATCTCTCTAACAAAGAGATCTGTTATAGCCATTGTCAAAATTAAAATAAATTTTAGATATTTATGTATTTTTAAAAGTCCTTTTATACATTTTATTCCCTTTTTCGAATCGGAATTCTAATATTCGTACCTGATCCAAATTTATTTCTTAATGATAAATATTTGTATGCATGACCGTTTGTAAGAAATCGATCGTAAGCTTTACCAGAAAGTGATTCATGATTTGATAACTGCAATAGGAACATGATTACAATCTATCTACAACTGCCACTTTTTCTTTAAATATTAATTACCTGTCCTGTTTTTTGTAGTGTATTATCAACACCAGAAAAACGGAAATAATTATCGGTACCTGAATCATTTTGTGAATCGTAAGGCGGAATAACAGAGCCTAATTTTGGATTTGCTGCTGAATAATCATTTGATATTTGACTAACAGCACGACAATCTAATACAAAACTTCGTTCTTTATCGAAAAGAACTTCAGCTGGTGGTGTAGGAGGACCACGATACAATTTATTAACACGAAATGAATTGGTATCTCTACGAGGTGAATACGTTTGTTTCAATGAATGACTACGTTTATTACCGAAATTAGCCGATTGAGTACGTTGAAGTTGTTTTATATCATCTTGTTTGGAATTGTCAGCCATGTCTACGAGATCTAAAGTAGAAATTTAATTTGTAAAATGTTGTAGTGTATACCTTTACTGGTGCATTAAAATATACACATACTTGACGTTATACGGTATCTAGTTTGATTATGTTTTCTTGTTTTTTACTTTTGAAACATGTCACACGTTTCAACGGATGCGTTCACAACAAAAAATATATGAAATTTTTTTAATATATTAACAGTGGCGCACATTCTATTTTCTTTTCTTATAGAACATATCGTTATTATTGTTCAAAAATCAAATTAAAAAAAACATAGGAAATTTATAGGGCGTTAAAAAGGTATGATAAGTGATTATCTTGAAAAAATGTAAAAACATACAGAACAAAAAATAAATTTAAACTTACAGATTTAAATTTCATTTTGTTTTTATTCTTTAAGTGGCACAAAAAATCAATGTGTTAGAAAAACAAAAAAATTTTTCTTTATTTCATAAACCTGTTTAAGTACAACATTTTAAAAAAAATTGTTGCATAATTACATGAATAGTAAACCAGGCGATTTATATTATGTTGTTGAGAGAAAAATGACGCCAACCTCCATACACGATTCATTTCACTGTTTTGATATAATCAAGAGTTAAAGGTTTGTCTAAACATATTTTCAGGCCCAACAAGAAATGAGACACCTAATAATTTATGCACAGTCTCTGCTAACTGTATGACTCTTAATTGGCTAACAACTGCCCATTAACCCTTTATCCCCCGCGAGCTTTTCTTTAGAGCTTTCTGAAAGCTAACCATTGAAATGGAAGTTAGGGGCACTCAGTATAAACATACCACATTTAAAATCCAATTTTTTAAATTCATTCAAAAATTTGAATTTTCAGATTTTAAAATCTATTATAAATTATATACAAGATCTTTTTTGTAAAATTTTTGCTACAAGTTGAAGCTATAGTTCTACTAAATCGTATCCATTGGATTCGATTTGTGTCGGAAGCATAATATGGCGAGTTGATGAACAAAAGCAAACACGTCTGGAAAAACAGTGTAAAACTCCAGCAAAAATGATGATTTCGTTTTGGGTTTGTGAGTAAAGGGTTGTTCCAGTGATATCATATAAAACAGAACATCTTATTGCATCTTTCGTCATCAACACATTATATAAAATAAAAATAAAGGGTTTACTGTCACTATTTTTATTCCGTTATTCCAACATGCACTATGACTTAAAAACAATCAATTAACTGACTGTATGTACTCGAAACTAAAATTTACATCGGCCATTAATTATCTGCTGCTTTTGGACAATCGATGTATCAAGAAAAAACTAGAATTGAATATTAATAATTAAATACCAGTTTTTAACTATTCGTCAACAAACTGTTCTTTTGTTTCGCTATTTTGACTACAATCGCCGCCAAAATAGAAGACGGCTGAATACTGATTGACTGATTTTCATTTCGACTACAGCCGTTTGGTCAGAAAGTACAAAAATCTAATAAACACAAAACATGTTGTCAAGAAAGCAAAAAAAGTTTTAGAAATCTATAAAATTGCCACCTTTTATCCTATATATATATATTTTTTTCTTTCCCCCTTTCACAGTTGTAGGTGCTGCCTCAGTTTGGTTTTGAAAGATTTTATTGTTGACGAGATAACTACAGTGTTGGGGAGAGAGTTCCAATCGCGAGCTGTGCAGAAAAGATTGTAGAATAGTTTCAGTGCGCGCAAATGGGATAAAAACTTGTCTATTATGCTGTAATAGACGTTCGGATCTTCTACTCACATCATACTGTATGAGACTGAATCGAGACAAGGGTGATAAGCCGTTAAGGACTTTAAAAAAGTACACTAATCGAAAATACTTCCTTCGCACGGAGAGTAAAGGTAATTTTAGTTTTTCGACAAGGGCTTTTCCTGGAGTATGAAAATCACGCGTGATCATGTGAGCTGCTAATTTTTGAACTGATTCAAGTTGACTTTCTAAATTAGCAAAGCTAGTGTCATACAAAGCACAGGCGTAATCTAATTTAGCTAATATGCACGTTTTATAAATTTGTAGACGAATTGAAGAGGGTGCATTTCTAAATTGTCTATACATAGCGCCTAGTCGTTTTCTACAATTTAGTACAATATCTTCAACATGTTCGCGACATCTCAGATTAGAACTGACTTTTAGGCCTAGGAGTATAAGGGAAGGTTGGCGTGTTATGGTTGTACCATCACTTAGTGTGAACTGTAAATTATTAGCTCTACTTGGTGTATTAGAGATAAACATCCAGGCACACTTATTTGCGTTTAAAGACATCAGATTGGAGGTACACCAGTTACAAATTTTTCAATATTCTCTTGACATACAGTTGGCATATCAGACGAGGCCATTGGACAGTAGAGTGTACAGCCATCAGCGAAAAGTATGCTATCTTCTGCTGCTATTTATGAAGATAAGGAAAAGTAAAGCACCAAGAACTGAACCTTGTACTACCCCAGAGAGCACTGGCGTAGGCGTAGATAAAGCAGTGCCAACGCGTACTTGCTGGGAGCGGTTAGTCAAATAACTAGTAAACCATTTTAGCACATCCAATGACAAACCTAACAGCGCTAAACGCGAAAGAATAATTTGAGACGAGACCTTGTCAAAGGCTTTCTCTAAATCAAACGCGACCAAGATGGCATCTACTGGTGGTTGTGTATTTAAATTCTTCGTCAAGTTATTTAGTAGGTAGGAAGTGCATCAACGGCTGAGGTCTTGGGCCTAAAACCAAAGGGTCAGATTGGCTGTAGCAACTTTCCATTTATCAGGAAATTCTCCTATTTCAATGGATAATTTATAAATATGGTGCAACTGTATAGAAATGATACTGATGTTTTTTTTCTCGATACAACCGCTGGGATTTCATCTGGACCGCATGCAATATTTTCGCGAAGGCTATTGATAGCATCGGTTATTTGCTCAACATTTGGATATACAAGGTTCAGTACTGATGTTGGAGCGAACTTTGATAGCGGAATAGGCATAGGTCCGGCTGTGGGGACGGTAGCAGTGGAGAAATACTTGCTAAATAAGTCTACCTTTTCTTGATCTGTTGAAGCTGTATCTGTACCGCTGGACAAGGTGGCAGGAAGACTTGAGTTACCCTGTCTTACTCGGTTTATAGCTGTCCAAAATGTTGATGGAGAGGTAAAGGATTTTGCTAAGCGGCTAAAAAATGCTCGTTTATCGTTGGTTAGCTCTTTCTTTGCGTCTTTCTTCCACCTTTGAAAATTTTCTTTCGCTTGCGTAGTATCCCTATACTTATACTTTTGGAATGCTCGATTGCGCTTTCGAACTGCGTGGTAATAGCTTTGACTTTGCTTGGATAGTATAGGTTTACGTTTTATTTATTTCCAGGGTACACGATTATATAGACAATTTGCTACATAACTGGACCAAAGGTTTAGTGCTTCAGTACACGTTGCAGTGTCATAAAAGTCAGGATAAATACTCGATAACTCAGACAATAAGGTAGCCCATTGGCATTTTTCATAATCAGAAAAAATTCCAACATCTCAAAGTATTTCTCATACTCATAAGTGATAACTGATGGTTATCTGTAAGAGCTACAGATGAAAATGTCCTTTTTTGATTTTGATTTTATCTTAATTAAGACTGGCTCTGTGTTTTTACAAGAGGCGATAAACTGATGTGGGATGGTGTTCAGAATATATATAGCAACTCCAGCATGCGGGGAATATTTTTTGAATAACTAGAAAACGCAACATACTAGAGACATGTGGTTTTCAGTGTTCGATAGCCAAGACCTTACTACGCCTTTCCCTAAACAGAAATGTTTTTTAAAAACATTTCAGAAACTTGTTTTTCAGAGCATCTTTGGATAACTTCAGATGATGAGAGATTTTAAAAAATACAGTTTTTAGGCTATTATCACCTAAAGTTAAAAAGCCGATAGAGACATTATTGTTCATCCAAGTCACTTGAAATTTTCAGAAAAGACTTAATGTGGTCTTCTTCATCTGACTCTGTATTTAGAAATATGACAGTGGCTCTTGAAAAACTTAGAATTTTTTTCTTCATCAATTATAGAAACCGTTGAAACCTCTCTCGAGAAGACAGCCTCTAGTGGGTGTTGATGATAATACCTTGGTACTAAGTAACAAAAATATTGATATTTGTGAATTCAGCCTTTGTTATAAAAAAATATATTCATTTTTAACATCATAATAAAGCTGCCGTTTCTAGGAATTAAAACGTTCCTGATTTAAAGGGCTATAAATACTTAAAAGAAATAAACCATAGTAATATTTTAAAACTAAAACTATCGAAAAAACACAAAATCAATTTTGTACGAATAGAGATTCGAACATACGAACTTAGTTTTGCAGTAAACTGCAAACTCAATCCACTGTTCTGTGTCTATACTCTGTACAACGATTTCCGTTTGTATTGTGAAAGAATAAAGCCTATATCATATAAAATACTCAAAAATTGTCTCAACAATGTGCATTTAAGAAACATTGAATAGGTTATTAATGGATATTTAATAGCGATTAACCATACCATTTCTGACATTCAGGGTTGCATGTACCATTTTCGATTCTATCATATTCAAACTTCTACTCAATTATTTATGCAATAAATTTAAACTTATAATATTCGACCGAGTAGGACTGACGTGTGATTTTGATTCAATAAGTTTCTAACCGCTTATGATGTCGACAGACATTATTAATTTTATTTTTTAGTAAAATATATGAACAACGAAAAAATAAAGTAGAATAGGAAATCGTGCTGCAAATACGACGTTAAAATTGTTTCTGTCCAGTAATTCCAAATAATATCTTTTGATCTAACATCCTTAAAGTATAATCATTATGGTAACAGTAACACATTTCGTTATCATCGAAAGAAAAATAAGAAGAATCACAAATCGTTTTTTGTTAATAAAGAATAATGAAAGTTTTTTCTTTATGAAACGACACCTTTCCAAAAGAGGAAATAAAAGGATGCAGGTGCTATCGTTTAATATGCTCTTGTTAATTGTGGTTCTTCGTTTTGAGATGATTTTGGTTTATTTTTTTTGCCGTCATCGGATGAAGAATCATCACCATTGGGATTTATCATAAAGCCACCAGCGGCTGCTTCGGCATGCCTTGAAAAACAAAAAAAATTGTAATTCAAGAACAGAGTTGACAAAACACACTTCTTTCCATAGATGACAGGTTTATTCTTGATTCTATCTTTTTCTGTTCTTCCGATATGTCAAATAGCAAAAGAGTCATATTTTGGGATGTACAGAGAATGTAAATTGTTTTGTTGTCATTTGTTTCTTGACAATGATACGAGTCAGTACCGAAAGCTCGAAATCGACAAATAAAATTATTGAATTTGGTTAAAATTCTTAATATGTATTTTGTTGCGGTCATATACAAATTATTTTACTTTATTATTCCTACCGCTATACCTTCTAATTATTCTAACGTCAATCGTTCAAAAAGTCTCTCCTTTTAAAAATACATAGTTTTCTGTTATCTTCCAGTCCTTTATGAAACGCAAAGGTGACGTTTGATGAACTGTAGACTATTGCAAATAAAGTCCAATTGTTTGGTTGAATATAGATTTTTTGGATACTGGATTTAAGTCCTCGTGTCTCAATGCAAATAGAAAATTGTCAGTATTAGTATCCTGATTGTTACTGAATATTCGATACCGATAGCAACAATTTTCTAACGAGAGGAGGTGCCCAGTGTCCAGTGCCCCGCTTTTGCACGAAACATACATGGTTACAGGTAATTTTCGACGCTGATCACGAGTATGATATTCATTTGGACCCACATGGAGTTTTGGTGTGAATCTCTGGAAACCGATTTCTTGTGACCCATCCTAAAAGTCAAAATGAAGAGATTTTGTTCTATCTAACTTGGAGACCATATCGAGTTACCTGTATGGAAAATTTTCCAGACCTAAAGATTGAGTTTTTGATGACTTGAAAAAATTTGACATCTCAATTTAATGCAAAACGTCGACTTTTCACTTGTTTTTAATATGAAACTCATTCGAAAGTCAGTCTTTAGGTCTGGAAATATTTTTATACAGGTAACTCGACATACTCTACAAGTTAGATAAAGCAAAATCTCTTCACCTTGAACTTTAGGATGGGCCTCAAGAGATCGATTTTCCAAAGATTCACACCAAAAGTCCATGCGGGCCCAAATGAATATCATACTCATGATCAGCCTCAGAAATTACGTATAACCATATATGTTTCGAGAAACATAAATACGACTGGGCACTATCCCTTGTAAGTGCAAGCATAAGTTGGTATCTTGACGTCATTAGCGTTCCACTGCAGTTTAATTATCGATTTATAAATGAAATAGCTATGTAGTCTGTGTGGATCAAATTGAACAAATTACAAACCTTTTTTTTCTTCGTTTTCGTTTTATATTATCTTCATCATCGCTATCAGTACTACTACTTGAAATGTCAGGGACGGCATTGGATTGAGCGCCAAATGAGACAGATTTTGCAGGTGGAAGTGACGATAATGTCTGATAATTTGTGGAAGGAATAGCATTAGTTTCACTAAAGGTAGTTGAAGGAGTTTGATAAGCTTGTGTGGAAGGAACAGCATTAGTTCCACTAAAGGTTGTTGAAGGAGTTTGATAAGCTTGTGTGGAGGAAATAGCATTAGTTCCACTGTAGGTTGTTGTGGGAGTTTGATAAGGTTGTGTGGAAGGAATAGCATTAGTTCCACTGTAGGTTGTTGAAGGAGTTTGATAAGGTTGTGCATAAGAAATTGCATTTGTAGATGGAGTCTGGTATGTTGACGAAGGTAATGGTGGTGCTGGAGGGATAATTGGTGATGATAGTGATGGTAGGTTGGATGAAACTGATGATTCTGTGCTTCTTACAGATGATATAGGAAAATTTCCTTCTGTTGAAGTTGGCGGATTGGTTTGAAGTGTGGTGGGAGATAATGGAGCAGGCGGTATTAAAGAGGATGAAAGTGGCGACAAAGGTGAATCGAGTGTTGTTGATTTAGGAGCCGACGGAAAGCTATTAATTCTGTTTGGTGCTAAAAAATCAAAAATATTTAATTGATTATCATTTCACCTTTTAAACATAACAAATGGTCCATAAAGAATGAGACGCTTAATTTGTTTTATGTTCTTAGTACTCACATACTGTCCCAAAAAACTAGTCCTCGACATACTATCTCAAAAACGAGAAAAGAATTTCCTGCTTTGTAAAATCCCTCTATATTTAATATTTACACATTATTTCATTATTTCATTATTTGGAAAATTGATACAGAGTACGGGAGGCAAAAATAGTAACTGTGACAAAAGGTACAAGTTATATTTTCTTTACTCACTCTAACCGACTGTATAATAACGTTTCTGAGTGGTTATTCATTACAGATACTTTTGTGTGTCATTGTGTCAACGATACCGTTGTGATTTATTTAACTTTCCTCAAATAATAAAATTTGTACTTTTGAAGTCTAGTTTACTGGGTAAAACTTTCAACAACAACAATCAGTTCTCATGAGGGTAGATGATGATAGAATGAACAGTTGTTGTTTTTTCCTGATCTATGCTGTGAGCGTTCAGCATAGCAGTACTGTCTATTTCTAGGTTCTGGCCAATTGTTTCCATCTGTTAAACCGAACATTTCCTAGACATCTGATTTTGAAACTATTGTTTGCTATACATTATAATCTATTTGAAGAAATTGTGTATTAGCTGAGACAGTCACCAAAAATTTTTGAGAGTAAAAGCACAGAGAATTGTAAAATCAGGCAGAAATATTAAAAGTTCGCACGGCTACAAAAGAAAATTGTGAAGAAGAGGAGGATTGCACCATTTTATAGAAGATATCCTACTGCATATTCTAGCGCATTCTCACAAAATCATTAGTTTTCTAAAAACGGGGCGGGGATAACCTTGATATTGTGACACTATTCGTACCTGAGTGAATTGATTCAAATGTATCGAGTCTATATGGCATATCTGGTCTATCATCATTTTTCACACGTGTATTTGCTGCATTCGATTGTTGTAAACGATCATATGACTGATCTGTTGTTGTTGAATCAAATGATATTGGACTAACATTTCGACGTTCATCCATGACAGCTCCTGGCGCTGGTAGACGTGATTCATCAAATAATGTGTTTGTATTATTTGGTCGTTGAGCTCGTACATTGTATAAAAATGAATTTACTGGTATGACATCTTGATATTTTTCCTTCCAAGCCGGATATGAAATCAAATTGTTTCTTGCACCTGGTGGAGGATTATTTCTGTCTAAACAAAGATAATATATGTGCAATAAGTGACTCGATAGTTCAGATTTGGATGAATTTTCAACTATTGAGTGGTGTTTTGAGAGATAATGCAGGAAAAAACCGAACAGGATGGAAACTGAAAATAATCAGTGAACTCAGAACTATCATCTTAACTAATCTCCTGTTCGTAGGAGCACCAGAGATGAGAAAAATATAGTGTAAAAATTAAATATTAGATGTGGTGTGGTGTGGTGTGTAGATCCAATATACTAAATTTTGTAGAGTAGAAAATTCGATCTGCTGAATGTGTATCTAAGTACCCAAAAATGAAGCTACAGACGTGTCCATTATCTCTGGGCCACTTGTAATAATCTTCAGCTATAGTCCGTATCGAGCTTATTGGCTCTTTTAAATTATTTGCACATAACTTACCTGATACTTGAGCGTCCTTTTGATCATTATCATCTGCGCTCAATTTTTTTTGACCAAACAGTGGTTTGATGTGCGCTGGTGTAGGTCCGAATACAGGATGATTTTGAAAATCAATAGGTTGATAAGAGCTAACGCTTTCGGGATATTGTGCACGATTTTGCATTACGGAGCTTATATTTCTTGTATATTCTCCAGGTCGACTATAGTCACTCCCTATTTGCCCACCATTAGCCGGATAGTTTAACCATGCTGGTTGTCCTGGTGCACCAAGATAGCGAGCTCCTTCTGATGATATTCTAGATGAATTGCGCGATGACCTTCCAGCGTCTTGTAGCCATCGATCATAGTCTCGTCCCGGTAATGTTGACGAACCATACATACGAAATTCAGATGGTAACGGTGCTCTCACTTGTTGATATTGTTCAAGGATACGTTCATGATTATAATTAAGGCGTTGCTGTTGTAAGAAATGACGACGAATCATATCGATCAATGCACCACCTTCACGAATGTTTCCATTTGCATACGGCGTCGCTAGTCCATAACCACCCTTTACGTAGGGGCTACCGGGTCTCGATTGGTCATCTGAGTCGTTCCCATTAACGTCGGGAGCTAAACCTGCTGCCCGTCTGAAGTAACTGGCAAATCCAGCTTTAGTGAGAGGAGCTACACTACTGGCGTAGGTTGGTAAAGCAGGGGAAGAACCAGGTAGATCCATGCCATTTAACTGAGGGTAAAGAGAAGGGATAGCACCTGGTAATGGATATGGAATGATCGGACGAGGAGATCCTATACCGGGTATGCCTATACCGGGTATGCCTGCACCGGGCAAGCCTGCAGGGGGTATTGGCAAACGAGATTGAGATGATAACAACGGAGCCATGGCTTGAACACGTTCACTCAATGGAGGAGGAAAGAAAAATCTTTCGGCACCCCCGACAGGGTTTAGGGTTCTAAAGGATCCAGATGCGCGTTATTCAGTTAGTTGATTAGTGATCTGTTTCACATTGTTACTCACTGTCTATGACTATGTATGGCATCCAAAATGAACATGATTCCAGCCACAAGAAATAGTGTCATGGCAAACACGGCTAATATATATCCCCAATTCACGGTAAAATGAGTATGACGAAAGATAAAACTTCCAAAAACAGATACACCAATTAATGAAAACACAACTAAAACAAAAGAGATGCCATGTTGAAATTTTGTCATGTATGATAATGAGATGGTATCTCACTCACAACAAATCCCGATCATAAGTCCAGCTATAACATAAGTAAAGACGGGCTGAGAAACGTTGAAGCGTCCATCCCCCGGGTTGTAACCGGTTGCGTTATGTTGAAACGCTTTTCGGAGTATAAACATTATTATAAGTAACAGCATACCAATGATATACGCTATTAGGAAAAAGGCTTGAGAAGTATTGATCCATGCTAAAAATAGTAAATTGAAATATGCATTCTCAAAAATTGTATCTATTTACATCGATTGCTTGAGGTATTGGATAAAGTACAGACAGTTGTTGAATTTCGATTCTTCTTATAGACATATGTCATGTTACATTGTTTAAATAATCCTCCTTCAGCAAATGTTCGATGAGTAGCATTCCGTGCATAAGCCCATTCTGGACAACAAATGACAATTAGAAGAAATAGAAGAGCGGTCAGAAATACAAAAAAACCCCATTCAGACCATTGGCCATACCAAACTGTCCATCGTTTACGATTTAATCTTAAACATATAATTAACACATCAATTAATGTCAGAACTATTGAAACTAATAACTAACATACGTAAATTTCTTAAGAAATTCTATAATGAACATGATAATGAGTACAAGTAGAAATGCGGAAACAATCACAGCAAATGCAAATGATACATGCATACGCCATCTGTTATCATGACGAGAACCAATGTAGGTGATCCATGCAGCAAATTCAAATGCACCTAGAAACAAAGGCAAAAACTTTTAATACTCTTTGAAACATACTACTGTTTTATTCTGAATAAAGTTTGATACAGAGGAGAGACCTACGTTTTTCTCCGTTTGATAGCTCAAATTGGAGCACATGAACCAGTTTGTGGCAAGCAGTTTTGAAAATCTTTTGCGAAGGTTGATCTCTGAACAGATCTTTAAAAGTCAGATCGATATTCTGAAAATTCTTATAGAAATAATTTTGTTTTCCCCTCATCATAAATAGCTCAAAGTCTCTTCTTCAAAATGAAATCAAGCGAGACCGTCATCTTTGATGGTTCAGGTTTGACGATCAATTTCTAATAAATTCTCGAACTAATGCCCGACAGAGTACTTTGAGAGTGAAAAGAGACACTATTTGAAATTTTTCGAATGATTGTTTTTCTATCCGATAGAGGAGATTCCAACTTATGACATGAACGGAACACTTTATAAAAGTTCGTCGGCTATAGTTGTTATAATTAATTTACTGCAAAAAATATATTCAAATTCATGACTCATGGATTGTGAAGCTAATATGAAAGCTTATCCAACAAGATAATAAGCTAATTTTTACATATGTGATAGGGTTCAACATTCTATGAAACTTTATCATTTGACATAGTATCAAAATCAGCTTCTGGAAAGCCTTCGCTTGGGATAAAAAGTATCGATGCTCCATATGTGAGATCAACTTTGTATAATATGATTTTATTGTTCCTGTCTGGATTTGATTTTGATGAATATCGTAACAGATTGATTCTTGTCTCAACGTTTTCTTCAATGTATCTAGTATGGGATCTCACTCGAGCTTTTGGTCGAAAATCATATCTAAGTATCTGGCTGGTTGTTGTGGTTTTCTACGATTATTTTTACTGCGTACTTATAATGTCTTTTTAAATGTGGCGGAAAAATGTATCAGTTCAATTTTGCTAGGTTGAAGGGATAATTTCCATTGTATGCACCAATGATGAAATGCTTCTACAGATCGTTGTAAATGTTTATTTAGGTTTGAGGCGGTGTTACTTAACGACTATAGAGCAGTATCATCTGCGCAAAGATCGTGATGTGTATGTGACGGGATATTATTTATAGAATCTACCGTATATATAATATAACCCTCAGGATCTTTTTTTCCTATTTATTGCATTATAATGCCTTGTGTTAGGTTTTCTATTGTGTTACAACGCGATAACTTTAAAAAAACATGCCTTTAATGTATTGTAACGCGTTATGTGGAAAAAGCTACCAAAAAATCGAAATTATAGTGTTATAATACATTTTTATCAACGATTTTCTCATATTTTATAATGTTACAACGCTATAATGTCGACTAACGCGTTAATATTTTGTTTATCGTTACAAGGCGTTACTAAATTCCTATCGCATTATAACGCATTAATCTGTAACGCGTTGTAGGTTAATGTATTATACCGTTATAACATCTAACAAATTATAATGTTATAAATTTATGGCAATACAATACATTAACTGTTTAGGTGTTGTGATGCTATACGTGATAGTGGTAATAGGTGTGCTGTGGGAGTTTATGTCCTAAGTCTCAAGTCAGTAACGTATATGTCTCATATAGTTGAAGTCATTTTTCCCGGACCAACTTTTCGAGAGGAATCGATTGACAGTCTCAGAATTTATGAAAATGTATCCTGTAATGAGATAAATCTATAGCGTTGTAATACCGTAATTTAAGAAAAAGCGTGTCTTATAGCGTTAAATCTTAACGGTGAGATCGTATATATAGTTTATTCATGTTTATGCTTATTAGCAGATGTTATATTAATATGACTAATTTCCATTATAATAATTTATTAGTTTGCCGTACGAGGAAAGGTCCCCAAGTGTGCAGTCGCTTTTTGCTTGAAAACTAATGGACAATAGGTGATCGACTGCGCTGAATCCGAATCTAACATTGGTTTGTGCTGCTAGGCCTCCAGAGACCGGGTTTCTAGGAAACTCTAAAAAATAACCAAAACCTTTCTTAAGGGCCCTCCCCCTCAGAAATAATTTCCAACACCATACATTCGATCTTGACGAAACTTCCCATAAATGTTTGACTTAATGAGTTACGGGAATGAAAAATTTTTTTGTCTCCAAGTCTTACCGTTTAGGAGTTTTCTAGAGATCAAGGTCCAAAAAGGACCCTGAAGTGTTTCCCAAAATTTTTTAATATACTTCAAGCTGGAGAGTTCGAGTTTGTTTTGTTTTAAACTAGACACCTAACTACATCGACTGATCGGTGCCGATTTTTCAATTAAGCCTTTATTGGTTTTCCAGGCAATCAACAACCTTCAAAACCCGAAAAAGCCTTCCGTATTTTCTAAAAATTAATTGATAAAAAAACTAAGACCTAATTCAAAAATCGGCGCCGGTCAGACGATGTAGTTTCTTCTCCTCTTTGAAACAAAAAAAGAATAAACTCTCTATGACAAACCGCTATAAAAAATCTTGGGAAATACTTCAGGGAAACTCGTTAGGAAAGGCGTTCAGGAAAGGTCGTGTAGAGCTGGACGATATCTCATTTTAATCAGAAATTTACGGTGTACAATCATGCCTCATCAAGAAACATTCGGGTTATATTTTAGAGTTTCTGAAAAACTGGTTTTTCAGAAACCCGGTCTCGCGAGGCCTAGCAGCACAAACCGATGACTGATTCGGATTTAGCGCAGTCGACCTGTTGTTCACGAGATTTCAAGCTAAAAGCGATTGTACAATTGGGGACCTTTCCTTTGTAGTAGATGAGTATTATCTTTTGATTGATGATTTAACTGTGAATATTCTTGTTGTTTATAAGAAAAGTTTGGTGGTGTACGTATTGGTGATAGTTGTTGTTGATTTATCGATGAATATTATTGAGCTGTTTATTTTAATTTTTTGTTGTCGTATATTTTACATATTGATCTGATGTGGCTAAATGTGGACTTTCACAGTTATGATGTTTAATTTCGTCATAGGTTTTATCGCAACCCAATACTTTATCTTGTCCTGAACATTTAGAGCATATTTTCTGTTGTTTCGTACAGTATTTGGCAATGTGACCAATATCGAGACAGATATGGCATTGTTGTGGTTGAGTATTAATTTGTGCACATTCATCAGGAAAATGTATATCATCGAACTGTAATCCAGTTTTGATAAGTAAATCTGTATTGTTTGTATCTGTAAATTGTATTTTGACTGGTATTTCTGGTCCATTTTTATTTTTATTTGGCAATCGTGTTATTTTATCAAATTTAAAACGTTTTGATTTTAACCCTTTGGTTATCGACGACGCATATATGAGTCATGAGCTTTATCATTGCGTGAAGCTAACGCAATCACTCATAATGCATGTTCTTTAGATACATTTCTTGCGTAACGTCAGGCAGCACGAGCCTTCTACATCATCATTTGTTTTGTGAAAATGGCAACGTCAAGACGTCGACTTTCGGATCAGGAAGTCGCTGAAATTCTAGCAAACTCTGATTCAGGATCTGAAACTGAAATAGATTGAACCGACTACTGCAGTGGCTCTGACGATGGTTCTGATGAAGATTCTTCGCAACCAGCATCTCCTCAACCTTACGGTGGATCTTGGAGAACAGGAAACTTTCGGCCAAAGAAACCAATGTTTAGTCCGACTATCGCTACCAGTGTACCGAATGCAATGTTGGGCTGTGCATTAACGATTGTTTCAAAGATTCTCATAGTTTACAGAAGATCTATGGTTAATTTCGTACAATTCTGTGAAATTGGGTCAGAAATAAATATTTATAATGTCTTTTCTGAAAAATCGTTTTTTTCTCTCTTATGTCAGTAACCAAAGGGTTAATGCATGTTCGATTTCTTGTTCTGGAATCTCACGATCCATATTTTTAACGAATGCTTCTTTATTTGTGTCCATAACTTTTTGTACTTATCTTGGCACACACATTTCCATTTGTGGATGTTGTTGTATTTGTGTTGGTACAAATTTTGTTAAGAGTTCATTGAAACTTTTAGCACCTTGTGTAAAGAGAATGAAAATTCCAGATTTATTTTGTTGTATATCACATAATTTAACATCATTTACAACATGTATTGACTGTCGCCCTTGTAGTCTGTTCGATGTTATTGTATTTTGTTGCCCACTATGACTCCTATCCGGAGGATGAAAATCCATTGGATTTTTCTGAGTTGGCAACTTTGTGGATGTGCAACTTTATACAGTACTGATGTATAATATTATTTTAATTTAATTTGATTTGATTTATCTGACGTTTAAAAAATATTTCTTAGCTACGCTCTTTTTATTCAGTGAGTTATAAAAAGAGGCCATGTGATACGTTTGATCACGTCAAAGCACGTATCGTTTATCGCTTTCGTATTCATTTCACAATTCATGAGACATGAATTTGAATATATTTTTTGCAGTAAATTAATTATAACAACTATAGCCGACGAACTTTTATAAAGTGTTCCGTTCATGTCATAAGTTGGAATCTCCTCTATCGGATAGAAAAACAATCATTCGA